CAAGAACGACGGGAAGGGACGCGATCGACGTCGTGGGTAACAGCTTAAGTTAATAAAGATGAAGGGGTTTACAAAAACGAATTTGGATGCCCAAAATAACAATTCTCGCGTACGAAGTCGCTGGCACAGCTAGTATGAAATAAAACGCTTTAAAACTCCGTTGTGAGAACAAGGCTGATTGCTGCAAAGTATCTGAAACGTCAGGTCATAGATAAAATGTTATTGATTTATTTCGCGTTTTAAACCGTTATAAATGTTTGATATAAAAGTTGTTCGTTTGAATGTTGTTGTATTTTTTAACTGTTCTATATCTAGGAAATGTGGAAGCGTGGTAACACAGAGCACGTTCAAGAAACTCATTTCGCTTGTAATAAACTCGCTAAACGCCCCACACTGCACTAGCTGCCGAATATAGTTGACTGAAGGCCAATCTATTCTTCTAAATTCATACCTCTAATACATTGCTTGAGTTCAATTCAATCTTGTTTAACATTTATAAAACTGTTGGAATCTATAAAAGCACTCTTAAAGATATGTAAATACCATTTATAAATTCTTTAGTGTCCAAAAATATTATTTGTACATATTTGTTGTTTAGGTGCACTGGCCCCACAAGGATGTCCAATCATCCAATATGAATTATTCTATTTGACAAATATGTATATGTCATGTTGTCTTCTTTTCGTCTTAATCGAATATTTAAGATTTCACGTTTTATCTTATCGTGTGTTATGACGACACGTAAAATAGAGGACAAATTACACATACTTAAAATCAGTGAGTACGGCATTGAGAACCAAAATATCTTTTTCGTCGACGAAATCAAGAGAAAACTATTCAAAGAAAGGCGTGAAAAACTTTCGCGACGCATACGTCAGCTATCTAATTATTAAAGCAACTTTAACATAGTATTAACGTTTAAATACACTTTTGACGGAAGAAAACGCGAAATATATTATTTATTTATTTAAATAAAATAAATAATGATTTTTAACTTATATTAAGCCCGGACCTTTCGGATGCTTTTAGCAGACATTAAAAATAAGTTAACTAATATTACGCGTTTTAAGCCGTTAAAAGTGTTTTACTACAATGTGTATTACCCAAATTAACTACAGTCAATTATAGTGTTAGCAACTTTTTTGAACAACAAAAACATTTTTCTTACTGGTATTCGAACACGTAGTAAGTTTTAATGTGAACTACATAGGCAAAACAAACAGTACGAATCTTCGTACTGAATATGATAGTAGATGAAATCAATTTAGTATTAAGTACCATAAACATTTAAATCGATTAATTAAATTATAATAAATTAATTCCACTAACTTAAGAAGGTAGCGATAGTATTAATACCAGAGAATGTCCGTTTCTCCGTTTTTTATGGTCACTATAGCCCCTGAGTAATAAAAACCAGTTCGAGAGAAGATTTGTGAAACAAAATGCGTTTGAATTTTGCGAGACATTGAACCTCAGGTAACGGGTCACTGATTTATATACTGCGACAAAACTAACTAAATTTAGGCTTTCATTAGTTAGGCGTCTTGCGCAGACATTCTATACCTAACCTAAATCACTCAGTGGTAAACACTTTTTTGGACATAATAATAACTAATAATCTTTGCAGATCCGGCTCGTTGGTCTCATGGAAGCAATTTGTTACTAATAATAAACGGGCCATGGGTTCAATCCATAACGAGTCCAAAATAAATCTAGTCGTTTTATAATTTTTCATAAACATGCAACGTGATGAAGCCACTATGAAGCCGTAACGTTTAAACGCGTTTCAGTCTGTTAATTTCCGATTGTCCAAAACCCAAAAAAAGGTCGACTGCATATAGTTTTATTATATATACACATCCATGTGGAAATCCACCTTCCATCAAATGGAGCAACATGGTGCGCTTCCCATGCTCGAACTCACTGTTCTAAACCCAGCATGCGTGCTCCAGTAGAGGTTGGTGGATTTTAACAGTAGTTAGAAAGTAGGGTTTACCAATCTAACTAAAGTTGGTAAGACCCTACTTTCTATCTCCAGGCTGGTAGTATAAACTGTCTTACAATAAATTAAAATAGCTTTTCGCCTGTCCCAGGATTCGAATCCGGATCTCGCTATGTGCGGTAGAGTGCAGTAACGATTGGCCATCATTATAATTATATACTCTGACCATCCGGTTTAAATTATTTATTAAACTTTGTTAAATTTACGCACTCATTCGGTTACAAATAATTACGCGTCAGACACGAATCGAAAAGCAATTTATCATTCTAATCAATTTCTAGGTATTTACGACGAGTTAATAACAATCATTACTGCCAAAATATGTTACAATCTGTACTTCAAATTTTAAACTGATTTATTTTTTAATTAACCATAGAAAAATGCAGAGTAGAAGTATTCATTATATTGCCTATTGTTAGGTATCCGACTGTGCCCTGCTCGACGTAAACAAATTTTTCTTTCTATGGAATTCCAACCCAGGACTATAGGCTTTTTTTAACATTAGTTAAACCTTTGAAAACTCTAATATTATTTACAAGTTATTGCACATGATGGCACTATATAGATTTAAAATGAAAATAAATTGAAAAGAGTCGGTAGCTCAATTGGTTATAGCAACACGGAACGCTGATGCCGGTTCAAGACCTGCTCGAGTCAAAATTTAAATTTATTGCCCATCGCCATGAAAGCGTAGGTAAACCCGCTTCGGATACCAAGTGGAGGAACAATCTATTTTAACTTTACTGTAAGGAGAATACACCATGTATTAGCAATTATTTAATAAATTTAGTATTTACTCAATGACGGCTATGAAATTAAAATCACGTTTTACAATTTTTATTGCACATTCTATTTACGTGATGTACACGATAAAATAACGGTACATAACATTTTCACATTACAAGTGATTTCCGATGCGGTTACATAAAAAGATGTTTTGGTATAGATAAACGGGATAATTATTGGGATATGCATAAAAAATAAATTACAGTTAAGTGGGTCGAAGTAAGTCAATCATAAAGTGAGTAAAGGTAGTCAATAGACCATAACCGATTAATTGTTCTGCTGGAACGACAGGCTGATGTTTGAAGATCAATCACCGATATTCGACTGAACTACAGTAAAAAAAATATTTTTCCAATCCTTTTTTCTGTTTCTTTTTTATTAATGTTTTTACTAATATGCTGCCTCGCTGCGTCCAATCGTCAAATCGTTTTAAAAACAGTTTAAATCTATACTATAATATAAGCAGAAAAGTGTTTTGAATGCGCTAATCTCAGGAACTACAATTTTTTTGTGAAATCGAGGAACTATATAAATAAAAAAAAGATAAAAGGATGATGGAACAAAAGCTATTCTGCAAAAGAAGATCTTGGAAGATAAACTTGCAAGAATGGTTGCAATGGTAATCAAATTTGGTCGAAAACTTTAAAAAACAACTTTGCCTGGTCAGCTAGTTTATTTCGCGTTAGAAACCGATAAATATTTTAATAAGCTACGTACTCATACATTAAAACTGTGTATTAGTGTACTTGAATAATTATTAGCTAAATATTTAAGTTTGCAGCTTTATTCCCACTAATTGAAAACTTTTAGTATTTCTTGAATTAGTGGTATATGTAGTGCGCTTAAGTGTCCTAGTTATCTAATCCGTCTGTATTATGCGTATAAAATTTATTATTCATGGCCATATTAGAAATATTTAGACGATAACCTAAAATAGTTTGTTATACCTGTACTAATGAATTGATTAGATTAACTCGTCCGTCACAAAATACATCCTGTCGCGATATTCAATATTCTATACGAATATTATAAAGCTAAAGAGCTCGTTTGTTTGTTTGAACGCAGAAATCTCAGGAACTACTGCTTCGAATTGTAAAATCATTTTGTGTTGGATAAACCATTTATTGAGAAAAAGGAAATAGTGGAAAATACGAGACAATTATTCCTCTTTGACTGTTTCCGACGAATATATCGAATAAAAAAACTATTCTACGCGGCCGAAGTTACTGGCTCAGCAAGTAATTTATAAAGATAAGGAGGAGAGGAGGTAAGCAAAATTAAATTTTGCTGCCCAAAATAATCATAATAAATACGCGGACGAAGTCGCGGGCACAGCTAGTTCTAATCATAAATGTCTAACGTTATTAGATGGGCTATGCAGTGTACAGTAGTAGAAAAATAACGGGAAGGAACTATATTTAGTAAACTTTAATAAATAATAGGCAATTAAAACCATTTACCATTACAATAATATTTACCGTACCATCGTGTTACCCCTAATAATTTTATTTTCGTCTGTGATTGTTGCTTTACGTGAACCGCTAAGGAAGAAAGGATAAGTGCTTGATGTTGACAGTATCTGATCTATGCATTTGATATATTTGAATCAATAAAATATATATAATTAATTATATGTGTGCAGGCTTATGTGTCATTACCGACGTCACTTTATTTTTTTTTCCTAGAATTCAAACCTGTTCGCGCTTTAAGTAATCTTAGTTGCGGAGACGGCCCACATACCATTAATACATATACTCGATAAATCATTTACTTTATGACTTAATTACGTAGCGGACTAAGCTCATAAAATTACGAACGCAACGTTAATTATAAATAAATATTGTATTTTATCTTGATCGCCAGTAGGGATCAATTTATTTTTACTTAGATGATATATTGAATTTTATTTAAACTGAAATCGAGACGACGCGGTTTACACCCTTAGCATACGAGAGTTCGGGAGTTTGAAGCCGAGCTGTTAACCAAATTTATTATCATGTCAACAATTTTAAAGTTGGAATAAATGAATTACTTGTCTACTACTTCAATTTATTTCCGTATTTCGAGTTTATCAATTAATTCGCCAAAAAGCAGCCAAATATGTAGAAACTCACTATCTATTCCACGTTATCAACACGCTGATATCAAATCGATCACAAATTCGATAGTAATAAGCATTTACAAAGAGACACATATCGCTGTTTCAACTTACATCATAGCTCCAGGTGCAGGACACCCCGGCGAACTTGGCAACGCACCTTCCTAGCTCCACGTCTTCATGCGTCGTGTACAGGTGTTTCAGACAATACTTCACGTGCGGCGCCACCCTTCGTAAGGTCTCTCTCGATATGAGCACCCCGGGCCCACCCATACAGAAGTTTTCATTGTAATCGAGCGCCAGCGCATCTCGTTCAGCCGTTGTTCCCCTTCCAGCTTGGCCTATAAACTGCGGTTTTCTGCTGTCTACTGAACGCAAAAAATCACCCAACTTATCACCTCGCACGTACACGTCGTCATCCGCGCGCATAAACCATTCAAATTTCTCGCCATAATTGTCATACATATACAGGAGCATAAGGAAAGACTTCTTTTGGGGTGGGTAACTGTCGTCTACGTAACGCAAGGGAACTAACGGCAGGCCCGGCGCACGCGACACCTCTGAACTAAAGAACGCTATTCGTCCCGGTAAATCCTGAGCCCAGGTGTCGTACACGGCCTTCGCTCGCGTACCCAAATACTGCTCCGCCGTCATTACACCCACGAACAATAAGGTTCTATTTGAGTTCTGAATGGACTCTTCTTGTTTCAACCCTATCAGCGCTAGCGGTTCGGGGGGAGCGAACACTTTATCAGCTTCTGGACATATTTCGATGGACGTCCGCGACGATGACCTTAAGCATAATTTCAAAAAGACACCGAGCGTGACTCCGGCCACGACGCCCGCCACCAGATGCATCCATTTGTTCCTTCGCGGCATCTTGACACTTCAACAAACGCAGGCACTATTAGCCGTCGGCCACATGTGTGCATTCCCGGAATATCTGTTTTCTTTTTGTTAAAACATGAGCGGCCGGCTTTATTTCGCGGACGAATAACATCAATGAACGTCGTACGAAAAAAAAATGAAAAAGGACGTCACTAGTGCTATCGCGTGCCTAAATATCGGGTTCGAAGATGTTATCGATAAAATGAACGCGGTGCGGCGCGGCGTGTTGCGAAATATGAAAACATTTTTACTCTTAACCGTGAACGCGACAAACTCGTACGCCGGCCGATATGCAACTGTGAACTGGGCCGACGGTCTACTCAAAACAAAACTTAGGCAGCGGCGATTCCGGTTGTCCGCGCAATATCGTCGCTCTTGCTTGCACGCGTGGCCCGTAGCTAAAGTCGTCTTTATCTTGGCCAATATTATCCGTTTTCGACTGAGTTTGTCCGGTGTCCCATAACCCATTCATCGCGCGATACAAAAGGCAGGAGTCTGACGAGATGTCCAAGTTAATTGTTTGCAAAGTGATGGCTAGCAAACGGAAATAGATCACGGGAAGCCGCACAGCTGCGAAAAGCTAAAGATCTCATAAATGACGTGTCGGACAATCGCACGTTCTGCATACTATTTGCATGTTTGTGACGTAGTGCACCTAAAGAGGGCACGCACCTGGCTCTAATTACGCTGATCTAGGAATTCTTTGATCTGTTAACTGCCTATGTATGGCGGTGCCTTTATGACAATTATAATTAAAGAACACGGCCGTTATAAAATAATCACTTTAATAAACATGGTGGTATTTTAGAAAAAAAAACATTTATTTGATTTGTCTGTAATTGAAGTGAATTTTACACATTTAAATAAAACACTTTAACGGTTTAAAACGCGTAAAATATTAGTTAAAGTTATTTTAAACACGGCCCGACGTTTCCTAATACCTACCGACCTACGTTGCAGATTTGGTAATTCATAAAGATTAGGTTTTTAGTTTGAGTGTTCGAAGTTAAATTTAAAAGCTAAAATTCAACTTCTCTTGTAAACTTAAGGCGTTATACTAACCAGGCAAACTAAAAAATAACATTATGTATCAGTTTTTTCTTAACCCATCTGCTACACAAATGGCGTTTATGACGTTTGGAACACACATGTGGCCAGTGGCATTCGGTGAATATAAGTCTGCAACAGAAAATAAAATCCGAGTGCATTCAATTGTAAGTATTGCTAGAATAATACTTTCAAGATTTCCAAATACTGGTAGGTATTGCGTTCTCTATCCGTTTTCCGTGAGTTTATTTGGAGTCAAATATATATTCAAAATCAATTTTAGACTAAAAACTATGAGGTCACGGGTAGGAATCGAATCGTCGATTTTTTCAATCTATTGACTGCATGAATGCCTTTTGCGCTAAGTAATACAAACTTAACACATCTTTAGACTCGACTAGTGGGTAAGACTTACAAAAACAATTTATCTTTCTCCCGGGAGTCGCACCTAGGACTTTTCGCAGCATCGTGGCGATTTTTCCACGATAGAGGAGGATAGACAAGCGTGGTGTTCGCTTGATTGTAGTTTAAATACCCCGGTCTATAGCATCCAAACAAGATGCCCTATCGACCTATTTTGCCTTTGGATATTCGGAAAACCGGACAAACCCAAACGTGATTAAACTTCGACTTTTTCATCTGTGACGAAATTTCAATATTCTTACCACCTATTTAATATACAGATTTCCAGAAGAAGTTCAACAAGTTTCAGAAAAATTTAAAATCGATTAAAAATATTCTTGAAAACATTATTATTTTTTGACATGTTATTGCACATGAAGGCACTATATTATTTAAAAATCGAAAATAAAATGAAAAAAATTGTTCGGCTCGGGCAGGACTTGAACCGGCGTCGTCAGCGTTCCATGCTGTTGCTCTACCAATATATCAATGCATATATCAATAAGTTGAAAAAAATCGACGATGAAGTGTGGGTCTCGGTAGCTCAATTGGTAGAGCAACAGCACGGAACGCTGACGACGCCGGTTCAAGTCCTGCCCGAGCCGAAAATTTTTTTTCAATTTATTTTCGATTTTTAAATTTAAAAATGTTGGACCAAAGGGACGAACCCACAGCTCGTTATATAACCATATATTGCTACCATTAAACCAGCGATTCACATAATTATGGTATTGTTAGCGATAGGCAAACGGTAAAATGAAACAAAAGAATGAAAATAACTCTTATATTTTTTGCATACTTTCGTATAGTTCATATGAAGATTATTATCACGCCCTACCACAAGCATCGCACTATCACATCGCTAAGGCCGTGCAAAGAAGCTGAGCGATAGCGATTTTGAAAGCGAGTAGATTCAACAACGGTATTGTTGTAACTAATCATTATTGCACTTTAATTTTAATTATAAATTCAAACAGTGCCATTCTACGCTCAACATTATTTTCGTACAAGCTTATACACGCGGCTCTTTCCAAGTTTTATTTTGAGTGGATACATATTGTGTAATATTCAGTTTTACACGATTCTATACTGCATTAAACTAAAAAAAAACACATTGTAGCAATTTTTAAATGAGCTATAAGCCTAAAAAAGATGAGCTGTAGTCCTTCTTTTCAGCATATTAGATTTTATACTCGGTTTTAAGAGCCACGGGCATAAGGCGCTGAAACTTTAACATACCTGCGCAAGCTCCATTCTTAAATAACACAGCCTTAACTTTATATTACGGTCTAAGATCAACTTACTTATTTCTAAATATAAATTATTTAATTAAGGGAGCGAAATATGTTTTTTACATGTTAGTAAAACCTGTACATTTGAAGTGTTCGAAAGTTATAAATAAATATAAGCATATTGTAAAGTCATACCAATTTTCGAGCCAATAAAATTTTACGAGACTAAAATCTAGTAATTAATGTCGAAAGTTTTTAATTAGCAGTCTTAGATAGCAGGTTATTGGAGATAAATAGGATGATTTTACAAATAGGCTGTTGCGGAACATAAAACGTAAGTTAAGCGTGATACTGTGCCTTGAGCAACTTATAAGAGAACAACATAATCAAATTTTAGTAAATTGACACAGTCATATTTCCGTTCGTTTCACTAGTCGATTTTTCGTTTATAAGCAAGTAATTTTGCACTCTATGCCCTGCCCGACCGGCCTATCGAGGCGCTCAAGCAGTTGTAAAACCATATCGTAATATTTACTAAAAAAATGAAATAAAAATACAGTATTTAATTAGCCTGTAAAATCCTTGTATATATAATTTATAAGTTACTTCTAACATATGTTATCTTCAATAATATAAATACCATTGAGATAAAACATCTTGAAAGTAGAAGTCATCAGTTATAAATTATCTTGTACAACTATCTATTTATAATATTTTACAGTAATATTACTAGTTCCACAAAAGTCTTAAGTTTGGCGAAACGAATAAAGATATAAAATGAGTCCACAGCTTTTAAATTGCCAAAGTTAGTAATGAATTACAGAAGGCAATATTAAATGTAACTAAATATATTAGAAACTCAATGGACGAAATTTATTTAAATCATTTACTTTAAGACTATAACAATTAAATATAACGTTGAAAATTATAAGTTGTTGTTAAATATTAATTTTACAGAAGAACAACAATTTCTTGTTAATAATCTATATAGTTTATTCCTAGCTATCAGATATAGCATGTTAAATAAGAATGCATCTAATTGAAACAATAAAGAGGAATGCGAATTTAAAATATAAAAAATATATATATTACTAGCCGAAAAAACTAGGTTTAAATTTAAAGGCAAATTGTAAAAAATATAGTGATTTCACCTACAACGAGTTCGTGTTTGGCTTCAATGTAACATAGCTGGCTAAAATAGGCATGTAATAAATGCATAATCCGTCTTATAAACACTCTTGTGATGTTCATCGTAGATCCAACTGAATATTGAAGTATCTTTCTTTTAGTAAAAATATAGGTTTGTAGTCATTTATAATAGCCCAAAGTACATCAGTCTCCTCCAAAAAAGCTTAACATATTACCAAGAGTTTATACCAATTTATTAATAATGTAATATTTTCTTGATAGCCCCATTACCAGAAGGGTGGACTACAAAAGTAAATTTTTACCTATGCCAATATCCGGAGTATATCAATAGAATTGATTTATAAGTATTAAAAGTTTTGAAATAAAAGTAGATCTAGTACCAGTTGACAAAAATAATATAATATTGTTATTAATGTCTGAAGGCAGTTTAAGGCCCTATATACAATTTCTGGTATCATATCCTATTCTAAGAATAATTTTTACTAAATTGCTTTGAATTAGTCAGAGAATCTTTATAATTCTAACTTTACAATCTCAGTACATCCTATTTATACATGCCCTATAATATTGCAATAAAAACCTAAAAAAAATATATGCTACGCAGCTATGATACCAGCTCATCCAATGCCTTATCCCTGTTGAATTCATGTTTAGCTAGTGCAGCAGAAACCCTTCCTTCTGAAAATCCAAGATCCATTAGATCTCCTAAGATAAGAAGTCCTTCGATTATCTGAAAAACATAAAATTAATATGATAAATAAGATTCATATAATTTTATGTAAATATGTTTATAGTGTCAAACCAGTGTAAATTAAGCAATAACTTGTATTTAAATAACCTTCAACAGTATTAAATATTATCAGACTTACTATTTACTGAGATAGATATAAGTTCATATATCTTAATTATGGTAGAAACACATCTCTGCGTATTTCAGTATTTTTTATTTATTTAAAAAGCATATACATAAATAAACATCCAACCTTCATGACACCTTATAGGTTTCTTAGACCGCAGGAAGAATTTCATTCAGGACTTTGTTGTCAAGATTATAAAAATATATGCAACATTAATACATCCTCACCTTTTTGTCATTATCTCCAACCAAACTGCAGACCCTTGCTACCCTGTCTAATGGGAATCCCATACCATGAATCCTTTCACATATACTTTGCAATTTCAGAGGAAATTTGTTAAATGGATTAGGTAGTTGTTCTGCTGTTCTCCTTCTGTTATCTCGCTTTTCACTTGTAGAGGATGACCTTGGAACGACTGCTGGGCTGATGTTACCCGATCGTTCATGGGCCCTTAATCTAGCTGTTGCTAACTCTTCATCAAGCTCTCGAACAATGTCAGGGACACTTCTTGAACGGGATTTAACCATGTTATGAGAACTAGATGTGTTCATAGTACTGTGATGATCTGAAGCATTTGCTGGTGGTGCATAATAAGGTTGATACTGGTAATAATAGGGTTGTGGGATATATGTCCCATTTGTTATTTGTTGTTCGGCTGAAGTAGTCGGGAAGTATTGATCTGGATTTGGGTAAGCAGACACATAACATGGATAGCGAGGCATATACATGTTATCTACTGGTACTGTACTATCACAAATTCCATCAGAAGGGACATAATATCCATTAGAAACAGGGTAGTGTGGTGGTGACGAGTATATCATGTTAGGTCCTTGTACTGTCTGCTCATAAGTATTTGCAAGATATGTTCCATCAAGTTGCACTTGGGTTGCACAATTAGTGTACCCTGAATAGGGTTGCTCTGGATAATTGGGGACTGGGCAGCTGGCATTGGAGTCCCTCTGACTCTGTAATACTTGCGCCAGTAATTCCATATCATTAATAGTTTTCAACTCAACATTATCAAAAGGACTTGAAGTATCATTTTCAAAATCTTTAAATGTCAATGTCTCAACATTGTGTGAATACTGTGGTTTAGTAATTTTAGTGTTAAACCTTAGTTCTTGCAGCGGATCTGGATCATCGAGGAGGCTACACTGTTGATATGTAGATTGTACCTGTATAGGTTGTAAAATACTTAATTGTGATTCTGGTGAATTAGATGTTAAGTTTATATCTACACTAGTTGTTTTATTGGTATTGTCTTGATTTGAGGTATCACAGTTTTGTTCCTGTTTATCATCAGGTGAAATAGGGCTGATTTCGTCAGTACTAGGATAAGACACTTCAGAAACGCTCAGCTGCTTTAATTTTTCTTCCGCTTCGGCTGCAGCAATTGCATCTAATTTCTTTTGTTTTGCTTCTTCGAGAAGCTGAAGTCGATGTCGCCTTTCATTCTTTTTTGTCTCTTTAGCACTCCTGAGTTCCTGCAGTTTTGTAAGAACATTGCGTTCAAATGTAGAGCAATAACTAGCATTGTCTGCAACACTTTGGGCTCTTAAAGTACACTCTGTAACAATGTACGGTAATTCTATTCGCGGAGGCCGTTTATATTTTTCTGATATCTTAACAGGAACGCCGTCCATAAAATCTCCGAAATGTGACATATCAAAGCAGTACCGTGACTGATAAAGATAAAATAAAACAATGTTTGTTTTTTAACACGTCTTGCACTTTTAAGGTTACATTATCCTCTTTCGACGTCATCACTTGTTACACGAAGAGTTAAATATCTACAATTTTAATGTAAAAATGGATTACGAAAAGTGCATGCTTAATATTTTACCATAAATTTCGAATGTGTTGTTTAACAGTGAAATATTTTTTAATCGTCTATTGCAATTTTCAACTTTCTTGAACAAAGTTGACAAATTCTAGACGAAGGCTTTAACTTATGACATCCATCAACGTCAAGTTTTAGTGATGCCATTTAAAAAATAGTCATATGATTTCGCCTCAAACATTTTGAGAAAAAACTAAATAACTTTTGGGTACATATAACTAAAAAACAAAAGCCCAATTCACAAGTATACATATAAATTGACTGATCGCTTTTTGATAAATAAAGCCATGTAAAATAAAGGTGAGGTAAAATAAACTTTAGTATCTTTTTAAACTGGCTTAAATTGGAATGTGAGATTTAAATTTAAAAAAAAGTTTTCAACATCACGTGTAGAGTTTGCTAGCAACCGTCAGATGTCGCTAATGTTGTTCCATTAAGTCATGGCGGATTTTTTTCTCTAATTTTGAGAATTTTCATTATTGGTGGGTAGATTTGTTTGAATCACTCCTTTTTATAATAATTCGCTCTATTTCTACGGGTGAAATAGAAGCTACTAGAACGTCGAAGTGACTAAACAGTGATTCAAAGAGGCCATCGACGTACAAGGGAATACGCTTGACAGATCGTCTCAGATTTCCGTGGTCTGCAAAATAGTGAGAAATTATAATTTCGGCGACACACCGTATCAATTATTACTGAAATTAGCATAATGCAATAGACGATTGTTATAATTCACTGTCATTGTGTTTAAAGTTTTGAAAGACAGGTCAGTAAGCCAAGATAATCCTTTGCGTTAGCCGGCAGAACTATGATTAATAAAAATTAAATTTTAGGTAAACTTAAGACGAAAAATGAATGAGGGGGCTGCTAAGTTGTGTCACGGAAACGGCGGATTCGGTGGACCAGGAATATATATGGGTCAGGGTCAAATGGACCGCCACAGCCACAATCGTCATTTTCCAAAGGATGTGGTAAAGAGTAATGGAAATAAAGGTGGAGGTTCACCGAGACAGGTTCCGCGTAAGTGGCATTCGCGGAGGGAGAGACAGTCACAAAAAGGAGATAATTCTGCTTTTGGTTATGATTCAGATGACTCTAGCCTGTCTAGCAATGCATCAGGTTCAAATGGATCCAACAAATCTTCTGAAATTGGCAACGGTAATTTCTTAAATATTTACTGTATTTAAAAAAACAATCCTACTTGAAAAGGTACTAAAAACAAAAAATAGTTTATACTATAACTACCTTCAATAATGACTACAATTTCTATATTTTTTTATTATTTAGCTTGTAAGATATTGTCTTTAAGAAGAATCTTTTAACCCGTTGTATATTTTTATAATGTTAAAAAAATTAAATAGATTTTTTGTTTCTATAATGACTTTTTGTGCAGTTAAAATTTTTGCATTCTTTTCAAATTCTCACTCAATATTCCAATAACTATTTCTTAAAAATTGTAGCATAGCATAGTAATTTAAGAGGTGCTATAAATTAGTTTGATAAATTTATTTAGTTTGTTAGTCACCTTGACATTCCAATTAGCATGTATGATGCAGGTTCTTATCTAAACTAAAAATTGTGCTATCACATGTCGAAATATAATTCTTTTTGCTTTGCTATAAATCATTTTATAAGTACCTTTGTTTTTACTTCATTATTTACTAAGCCTTTACTTAGAAAATTGCCTGTCTGGTGACATATTTTCAAAACGTCTATCTTTAATACTTTTATGAAAAATATCATCTTTAACTGTTTACTATAATTATTTGAGTGTTTCAAGTTCTGTGTATTCATGTTAAATAAATTTTAGTTGGAAAACGAGAGTTGGGTAGTTCTGGTTCGGGCACTATTAGTCGCGAGTGGCGTGCAAGGAATCGACGTGATCAAAGGTCAAGGCGGATCACTCCAGACCAGATCTTATCTGGACCTTATCCCTTCCAAGTGAAATTCACACCCGATGACTTGTTAAATGGTAAGCATAATGTGACTTTGATAATGTCTCACAGTTATTAATGTTACAGGTACGGTACACAGGTAGTATGTTGATTGATACTAAAATACCCTCATTTGGTATTTTTTTGAGGAGTGATAGCCCTTAATTGATGATTATATTCCTTAAAACCCGAAATAAATAGTTGTTGTAGTAGTACTTTTAAAATATTATTCTTCCTTTCTTTTCTCTTCTTTTTTTCTGTGGATAAAATTAAACTCCAGTTACAATGAATGCAAATTTCAGGCTCGAATTGGGACAATCTATCCCAAGAGATTTGGGACAAGTTCATCAAATCCCAGCAGACTGAAGACACATTCCATAAGAAGATGAACTTATGGCGTTATCTCTTTGTCACTGTCAAGGTGAGAATATAGTTAAATAGTTCATACATTAAAAACTTTGGCAATGCTTTACAAAATTAAACATTATAAATTTCTCTGTTTTACAGTCAATATTCCCCCGATATGGGTTGTATGTAGTGGGATCTACTATGACGGGATTCGGTCTGGACTCTTCAGACATGGACCTCTGCCTGTACGTACGAGCTATATCCCACGTAGAGCCACGCGCGCTTGCCCTATTACATCTCGACTACATTTTATCATACATCCGTTCTTTCGACCCTTGTAAGTTTATTTTGCTAGTGATAATTAAGGAGTTTTGATTTCTCACTTATAGTTTCTGTTACCTTACAGATGCAGAACTTATCCAAGCGAAAGTCCCAATATTAAAATTTCGTGACGCTCAAGCTGGCGTTCAGGTCGACCTGAATTGCAACAATGTTGTGGGCATCCGAAATACAAATTTGCTTCAAGGCTTTTCACGTGGTATATACATATTTTGTATTCCTTTTTGTGTTAAAAAGTCTAACTGATAGTTTGTGATGGTATATAAATTAGTAACAAAAACTCAATATCAACATAGAGAAGAATATATCGGTCTTTTTCCCCTGTCCGGCACTCACATTTTGATAATATTACAGCGGATTGGCGGGTGCGACCGCTCGTGGTGGTGATCAAACTGTGGGCGCGTGCTCATCGGATCAACGATGCGCGACGCCGGACACTGTCCTCTTATGCTCTCACTCTCATGGTTATACATTTTTTGCAGAGTAAGTGCATTATGAAGAACGATATCTTCCTACTGCCCATTAAATATTCAGTATATGAGTCAAAATATCAAAAGTCAAAAATAATTTATTTATGTAACTGGGTACACCTAACCTAATCAAGGGAGAACAAACGAGAAGAACTAGCTAGAAACTCTGGTTGAATAACTTGGTGGTGATGGAACCTATGACCCTGGAAGTGTCAAGCACCTTTTTTGTCAACCTGATTAGGTTCAATGAGACAAAACTGCCAACTAATTTAAAGAAAAAAAAAAGTAAAATTAATGCCTCGAAGGATAATATATGTAGTAGATAGTATGGTTCATTTATTTCTTAATTCTTAAAATTTTAAACAACCCTATATTGAGACAATATCTATAGAAAGTATTTTCTTGCGACTGATGCAGATGGCGCGAAACCATCCATAGTGCCTCGGGCCATTGACGTATTCAACGAGATGACACCCCGTTCTCAGAACCGCACGTCTCTCGGCGAGCTCTTCGTACAATTTTTGCAATACTACGCGGAGTTTCCGTGAGTTGTCTTACTTTAGCGAGTGTATAGTGCAAACATACAAATATGTATTATATAGTTATTTGTAACATTTTGTCGTTTTATATGAATTGTTTAGGTCTAATATCGGAATGTTCATTCTTAGGTATAGCCAGATGGCCATCTCGGTACGTGCTGCACGTCGAATTCCTATCACGGAGTGTCGTCATTCACCAGCAGACCCGCATCAGTGGAAGTACATATGTGTTGAAGGTACAGGTCTTTTCCTTTTAACTAAGCACAGTTAAAACACCTTTTCTTGCATAGTATAATAATTGCCTTTTAATATTGTTTCCAGAGCCATTCGACCTAACAAACACAGCGCGGTCCGTATATGACCCCGAGATGTTCGAGAAGATCGTGACTGCCTTCCGCCAAAGCTACACTCGCGTGTCGGCGTGCCCGCGGCTGGCGGAGGCGTGGCCCGCAGCGCGATGATACCGGGGCCACGGCCGGCGACTAGCGACCGGGGCCCGCGGCCCGACTCTGCGACCCAGTGGCTGGACCACTGCACCACTAACCTTGAAATTTAACGTGAAGCTCAGTGAGTGAACAATGAAGTGAATCGAAACGCGTGCTGTACAGTAGTCACGGAAATATCGAGGGCAGTCTAAATAGTGTCGTAAAATAACCTCTAGGCTGTGATGCGCGACTGATTCCCTGTAAATACGTAGTGTATTACGTACTCATACGCGATCGTCCGACGCCCCTACTCGTCTGTCTCAAACGGACGCGTTATATTTTTGGAAGCGCGGTTTCCGACAGAACGTTAGACGCGTCGTTGTGCCATTTAGTTCCTACGTCTCGCGAGGGTCACTCATGTTGTTGATTAGTACAATTTTATATTATAGGAGGGTGCCACTATGAACATATGTTTAAATCACATAGTGCCATGTCCACTCAGCACGGGCGTCCGATGCGGCCCGCGGCATTTTGTTCCCTTTCTAATGTTTTATTTGAAATTTTAATTTTAATCGAATGTAGATCACCACTTAGTCTAGATTGTTGCAGACGCCAAACGAACCGTACCATTGCTGCCTCAATTGCGTCCTATTAATTTTTAATATTTATATTTATTTGTAAGTTATTTAATGTGTAAATAGTAAGAGTGAAAGAGATATTGAAACGTTTTAGCGTCATGTTGTATGTATGTTTTATGTAAATAGTATTTTTTGTGATGTAAAGAGTAAATGAGAAAAAAAAGTTGAACAAATAAACGGCTCGGTTGTATGTTAGAGCCGAAGTGAAGTCGGGCAGCTAGTGCGTGGTGCGGCGCAAGAGCGGTTATCTTCTGACCCACATTTTTTTTTACACATTCCAACGTCATTTCATAGCTGTCAATAGGGATTGGTCTTAAACATAAAAGTTTCTGTGATAAACTCATGCAATAATTGTTTTTGGTGCTAAGCATTGACACCTAAATGTAATGGTGCTAAATTTTTAATATTATAAGCTTCGCTTATTCCGGTACTTCAAGCTCTAAGATGAGATGAAATAAAAACAATGCATATCTTTAAAATAATAAAGATTGTAATAATGTTTATCTCTGTTATATAGAATGTTAATGAAAAAATCAAGAGTTATATTGTTGAGCCCCATATACACTATACAGGCTTTTAAATAACAAATATGATATATTGAAATGAAAGGTCTTATGGAGTCGAAACTCCTTACGGTTTTATACTTTGATATCAACCACTTAATTAGCCTGAATGATTAATTTTATTTTGATATTATTACTATTTTTAACTTACCCAAATTATTATTTGTACGGTACAGGAGTTAAAACCTAAGAACTAGAGATGTTACTTTAAAATATTGAATGCTAAGCCCACGAACGCATTGTTATATTAATATCGCCCGGCAATTATTTTGATCGTTTAAATAAGTTTTATAATGGTTTTATGAAAAGGGCGATTTGCCTCGAAGTACAATAATTTAAAATGGTAATTTGTAAGAAAACTTTATAAATATGGAAGAACACACCGAAAACTGTTTATACAAAAAAATATTTCAAAACGAAAAATATAAAAAAAGCAAAAAAAATATATAAAATGGAACAAAAATTACAAAAAAAATGTTTAAAAATATACCAAAACCAGTAAAAAACACTTCCTGATTTAATGCTACATGTACATACTATGACGGCAGTGACTTCGCCGCCTGACACAAGCTTCTGAATAATTTTCGAAGCTTTCTCGTCATCGAATGCGAAATTCTTGGACTCTTCAAATTATTATCAAAATCTCTTCTAAAATCTTCACTCGGAATAGTTTTTGTCTAACATGCTCACTGTTACTCGACTAATGTAATGTTAAGTAATCAACGGAATGTTTTATCGGCAATGTATATGTATGTGAATTATCGATCACTGCCAGCAACTGTGTATCGTATTGTTAAGGCAGTTTATATCGAAGCAGCGTAAATTACGCGGAGTTAAATTCTGACAGGATATATTTCTTACGGCCAAAATAGATAACACGTCTAATCCAAGATAGACACTTGTTTTCGAACGTCGCATTTCTTTCGATTCCTAATAATTGGTCGGATTGCTTTTGACCAATCATTTTACAATTATGGTACTCCTTTAAATAAAACGCTTTTAACAGCTTAAAACTAGACATATATTAGTTAAATTATGATTTTCCTTCCCGTAACCACATAGCATCTAAAACGTCGGGTCAAAATTCGAAGTAAAATTAAAAATAATTTAACGTAATATATTTCGAGTTTTAGACCATTATTTACTACTCTGGAGAATACTGGATTGCTCTTGTTATTTATTTTGGGGAAAATCTTGACGAAACATGCCTTTTTTATTGATTTCAAGATATCATGTATTAAATAAAATTTTATTTGATCGGGAATATTGTTAAATTTGAATACTCGAATATTTTTATTTGAAGTTTCGGATGTCCAAAATGACATAACCGATATTAAAAATTTGCTCTTCATAAAAGATCTCTAGTCTCTAACTTTACTAACTTTGGTGCTTTAAACTTTTTTGTGTAAAGCATTTTATGCAGTTTTGTAGCAGTCGAATCATTTGGAGTACATATATGCATGAATATAAAATACGAAATATGTGTTTTTAAATAAATATAAATTTATTAAAAATTAATTATCGTTTTAACGGAGGAAAGAGCAAATTTTCACATAACTAGTTTATTTCCGCTTACCAATAATAATAATTGCAAGAACAGAAGTTGACAGCCATATCACTACGATTTATTTTGTCTCAAACATTTGCACTATATTATATTGGATACGAGCAAGGTTCATGTACAAAATTATTATAAATTCAATTCTAAAATATACCTACAGACTGCCTTTTTTTGTTTTATTCTATTATACTTAATACAATTCATTATACATAGTATTCTTTCTCTTGCAAGACAGTGAGAGGGAATTGTTATTGTGCTTGCGTGTCTAATGGTACGATGCATCAATAGTCTTGGTCTTGGGTTCAAATCCTACCGGCTCTTACGATGTTTCTAAAATATTAAAATGGTGGTAGTAATTTCAAAATTCCTTTAGGACCATGAGCCACCGGTGGAAACACCGCGCAGTATAAATTGATCTGAAATTCCGAATGAAGCCAAAACTGGTCGGCAACGCCTCTTATTAAGATGTTTTATAGGTATATCGGACCCCATGCTGGTCCTCGGGCAAAGTTTTAAGCTTTGAGAAAAAAAGCTACAATGTTGACGTAGGATATGCGAAATACTATGTATTTACAATACCTACATATTACATAGAATATAATTACATATACCGAATATTATACAAATATTTAAATTTATTTAGGGTCCTTTTTTTGTACGAAAAGATTTGAGGGTAGATAGAAGCCGATTCGAAAACTAGGAAGCGATGCAATATCTCTTGATAACTATTCGCCAACATTTATTTAGATGATTATTTCCAAAATATTATACAATCTTAAATTTAAATACGTATGTAATGAATTTAAATCACCTCCGATCCAACAATTGCACATACAAAAAAAGATAAAAAAGGGCATATATCTGCCTCCATTTTTACAATATTATATTAACTGAAGGTCAGCAAGTGCGGTTAGAATTCAGCTTGTATTTAAATACGGTGCTACTAGCAGCCGGCTCAGTGTTAGTCTCACAAACATGGATTTCATACCCGAGAACAAATTGCTCAAGTTCAACCCGGACACGCTGCAAGCAGTCCGGAAAGAAATAAACTTGGACAACCCTGGAGAGATGAAGCAAGCTGTTAATATTCTTAGAGAGTGGATACAGCAACAGCCACATTTTAAGAAAAAAGATTTTGGTAAGTAAATTAATATAATTGCTAGTTGAGCTTAAATTAAATGTACTGTATGTATTTTGGTTTAGTTTCATATATTAAAATAGATTCCCTGAACTAAAACACTTAAACGGTTTAAAACGCGATATATATGACTTAAACTTACTTGAAAATTATTTTAACTACAGCCCGACGCTTCGGATGCTTTGCAGCAGCCGTGGTCACGGGGAGATTGAAAATGGAGGGTGTCTCTGATGTGAGTTTATGTAATATATATGGCGTTTTAAACCGATGAAGTGTTTTATTTGAATGCAGTATACATTTAAATAAAATACTCGCGTAAACTACACACTGTATTTAAATTCTTACATAGATAAATATAGTTTTTATGAAACCGAAAATAGTAATAATTTATAGTAAAAAAATATTTGAAATAGTAGCTTAAATAGAATTTTTACGTTTACATGCATAATACATATCTTGTCAATAATTCATTTATTTAAAGCGATTTATTGATACATTTTTTTCATATATCAACAGGTGACCATCTCTTAGAGGTAGTAATAGTTTCTGGTAAAGGTTCGATGGAACGCGCAAAGCGACAGATGGACAAATTGTGCACCATGCGCAGTTTATGGCCACACTTTTTTAATGTTGAAGATATTAGGACTGAATTTGCAGACACTATAAATAATGGGTAAGCCATGCAATACCTAGATGTAGCCATGTAGATTTCCATATAATATTTTATCTGATCACATCTTGTAATATTCATACAATATAGTATGGAAATAATAAAGATCCATTATTCATAATTTCCTTACACGATAATGACACCAGGTTTATCTTTGCATTAATTTAATACCAAGTTAATTGCCGTATGTTTGAGGCGAGAGATTTTTTGTAGTCATTAGTTCTTTAACGCGGCGAGTAAAAAAATAATAAATCCTACTTAATTTTTGTCCTAATAAGGTTATATTAATTGACAATATGCTCACGGTGTGATGTAATACATGCATTAAGGTTCGTACGTATGTTTGATAATTGTATGTTATTATAAGCCAAAAGGTCAATATTACGCTAAATATGTAGAAGCAAAAATGTTTGTGTATTGTGGATGCAAAATAATGGTTTTAAAACACGAGTAATTAGTATATTGAATCATTTAGATTGTTATTTTTTTATGTTGTTAATTCTAAGTTAAATTTAGTTAATATTGGAGTCTATAAGACTCGAGTAAAATTGTAAATAACCGGTTTAAAAATTTTTTATATTCCTTTTGGTGTTCAATATAAATAAAAAAATGAAAACTTTTTAATTTTTCACGTATTGCACATGATGGCACTATACATATAAAGGACTCGGTAGCTAAATTGGCTAGAGCTATAGCACGGAACGCTGTCGTAATTCCTTTCAAATTATAATCGATTTTTAATGTATATACTGAATCATATTCAAATTTAAATAAAACACTTTAACGTTAACGATAACGTTTGTTGAACTTATTTGAAAATGATTTTTAACTTCGGCCCGACGTTTCAGATGCTTTTTAAACCGTTAAAGTGTTATTAATTTGTACTACTCGCGTGAACTATAGACAGTATTCATATTCAAGTTTCCCATATAAAATAGTGTTTTAAAAAGATTCTTCTTTGCGCTAACCATCATAACGATATAGGTTAACGTTTGTCGTAAATTTAAAATAAGGCTGTTTTATACTGGCCACTTATAACTTGTTCCATACGTCTGTACTGTTCCATCTTATCTTATCTTACGTGGATTATTTTCATGACATTCTGATTTTTCAGAGAAATTTATATTTATTTATCTTACACCCCACTATTGTATGAAATTGTAAACTCATTTTTCAGTTCCCTAGCTTTGATGCCAAATCTTACGAAGGAACACCATCGCCTCATAGTCATCAATAAAGCGAAACCAGAAACGACTTCGAATATGCTATTACAGCATTACCGGTTGGGAGTTTGTGTAAGTTAATCAAGAAGAGCGGGTTTTTAAATATTATACTTACTTTATTGGCGTATACATGTACGCTCAATTAAAAGAGGCAAATTATTACTTATATTAAAAAAAGCGTCTTAAAGCTGGTGAAAAAACATTAAATTGTAAAAAATATTATCAAAGCGGAAAAGGATTATGCTTTTTAAATTATTATCTTTTTATCGTAAGCGCGCACCGTGACATTACCACAAAAAAAATTAATATTAACAACGTATAAATTAACATTGTTTTTTCTGTTTTCGATCAAGCAATAGGAACTTAAAATATCAAACATCCATATAAGTTTCGCATTGATGAATATGTACATATTAGTAGAAAAAAGGAGATATCTAAACTTCGATCTTTAATAAACAAATATATTCTTAAGGCACATTAGTTTGTTAATGTTAAAAAAAATATACAAGAGTGTATTTTATAACGGCGTTCTCTTAGTGGTTAAATGAAAATCTTATTAAATTAAAAAATTGACGATGCGGGCGATACATAACTGTTCCATACTATTTATTTATTTACTGCTCTAACCAACTGATTTAACATTTAAATTTGACCTGGAACTTTAATTGTTCTTCGTTATTTTCAGACATCCGATTACCTAAGAGCTAACGACTATGTGAACAGCTACCAGTACATTCTGGACCTGCGGCAAGCTAACATGGCTGACTTCCTTACTTCTTTTAATCTTACCGACTTCCGGCAGATATACACTATCCTCGTGGTAAGATATTTCCAGAACTAGGCGCTAATTATAATGACAATATCTATTACTTTTGCAAACTTTGATATTTTCACATGTTATTGCACATGATGGCACTATATAAATTAAGCATAAGACATTGAAACTAAATTCGCAAGTGTTGAGGTTAAATTACATTGCACGAGAAGTGCACGTATCTTTAGGTTGAAAAATTCGACGCTGACGTGTAGGACACGGTAATTAAATTGATAAGAGCGCGGAACGCTGTGAATGCCGGGTCAAGTCCTGCCCGCGTCGTAAATTTTTTTCTTGTCTTAATATCAAGAGGTCAACATGTTTTTATAATTTTTTTTTACTTTTACTTAATTAAATAAGTATTTTTTCAAAACTATCAAAAAACCAAAAATATACTTGATGCATACAAATAATATCCAGGACTGTTACGGAATGCGTATAAAAGGAATTCACATCGTCTCCAATTCGAAGTTGATCGACACCTTCATCGGAATACTAAAGCAGTTTCTGAAGCCGAAACTAATAGCCCGTTTGCGTCATTATAATGATATCGACGAGCTGGTGAATGTCATCGGAGCTGAATACCTCCCGAAAGAGTTTGGTGGTACGGAAAGGTCAATACGAGATATTCAAGGTAAGGAGGTTGGAAGGTAGCCTTCTATATATTTTCACAGATATCATTGTTCATATTTACGATCTTTATGTTGCTTCACCTAAAGTCATGTGTTGTTGGACAAAAACAGACACCAAACAAATTAGTTTATTATGTGAAAACGGATATGCAATTACGTTGTGTTTACATTTTTCAAAGCAAACTACAAGTTCATTCGTAGCATTGGAGGAATAGAATTAATTCGTGCAATTGTAAAATGGTTATTATTATTTTCTATTGGTGACATACATGGAAGGCCCCGTGATCAGTTCATATTTGCTGCTAAAAATAGTTTGCACCAATTTCTCTCTTACGAAAGACTTAGAGTTTATCTAACTCTCAGCGCCTACAATACCAATGATCGTTTCTATTTTTTCTCATTGTTATTTAATATTCACAGAAGACTGGATCGAAGAGTTATCATCTAAAAGAAACATGGAGCGCATGCGCGAGATGCGTGAAGCCTGCACAGATGAAAGTCTACGACCCAAGGGAAGTTTCAGCGAAGACTACGCTGGGATGCCGGGCACCTTCAGGCTGCTAACTGTGGATTAGCCGAAAAAAAAAAGTGAATAGCACTTTGCCAAAAGTCAATGGTCTGATATTTATTTTTTGTCCGTACTCATCACGCTCAATAAGGATAGGTGAACGAAAGTACGTTTCTGGGTAAGAAGGGAGTAATAATTATAAATTATAAAGGTGATAAATATAACATATTCCGAAACAGGTTGTGAATTCTGCGTTTTATTGGTAGTTAAAACCATGAACGTTTGATCATAAAACTTGAGAGTTAAAAGGAAAAACATTAAGGAAAACATTGTTTTGTTCGTTTGTGCTGCGGTTGTAATAGGGCCAAGGGTTGATGTGTAACGTAAAACATTATAATCATTAATATATTTAAGAAAATGTTCGCCTGTTGTACACAACGAGCAATATCTTGATGGCGACTCTTGATAAGGGCAAAGGTTTATCGATTAAACTATACACGAACATAATATAAATATATAATAACAGTCCAAGTAATACATTGCATTGCAAACTGTGAGCTTTAGTACGGAGAAGTATGTATAATTAAAATATGAAAAAAGAAATTTAATGGTTCAAATTCCATAAAAAATTGATTTCCAGCTTTCCGATTTAACATTGTGACGAGAATGTTGTCGTTTAATGAAGTCTGCAGCCTTCTCGGCAATCATAATGACGGGTACGTTGGTGTTTCCCCCCACAATCCTTGGCATTACACTTGCGTCCACCACACGTAGCCTACGCACACCGTACACCCGTAGCTGACTGTCCACCACCGTGCCCATGGCGCAAGTACCAACGTAGTGCCACAGCGTTGTCATCGTATTCAGCACGTAGCAGCGCCAGTATTGCTGACTTCCAAATTCCCACTCCTTACACATTGGACTTACCAAGTCCACGAACTCTGCGTTAATACTTCTAAAATATGTAGAATTAACTATTTTTGCAAAATCAGCGACGTACTTAGCGAGATCATGGAGGTCCTGAATGTTTGAAAAGGTCTCGGGCTCGACCACTGGGGGGTCGTGAGGGTTGGAACTACGCAACTTAACGCGTCCCCTAGACTTAGGATGCAACAAACTGAGGTTTACGTACAGGGTGTTTCGCCCTTTACCGGCTTGAAAGATATTTTGACAAATGTAGTCCTCGAAGCCAAGATTAAACGAGCAGAGCTGCAGCGGTGCTTCCGAATCATTCGGAACTACGAATATTAGAGTCTGATATTCTGGACACGTCTGCGAGTCGTTTAGTGCAATGAATCCAGTAAAAACTGGAAAGGGGAGAGTGTGTGGATCAGGCGCCGGGCTGGACCCTGATGACTCTTCAGTCTTAATGGAAATCAAAGAAATTGTATGGTCATGGAAATTGTAGCCGACTGGAAGGTTTTTTTTCACATTGATGTTGAATTTTCCCAAGTGTTTCTCGGGACCTATACCGGAGAGCATGAGCAGGCGCGGGGAATTCATCGTTCCGGCGGACACGATAACTTCACGTCGCGCCCACGCTCTAATGGTTTTCTTATCTTCGGTTTCGAATTCGACTCCTCGAGCTATATTGTCTTCGTCGATTACAATTCTGGTGACAAAACTGTTTTTCCTTACAAAAAGATTTGAACGATCTTTATTCGCTAGGTTGGTAAGCGCCGTTGACTGTCGGAAACCGTCCGCTATAGTGACAAGCAAAGGCGTATAACCTAAATTTGAAGGACCATTAATATCAAACACTAAAGGTTTACCTATTTCTTCGAAACTCTTTAAATATTTATTAATTTCTGGCCTGTTCTCTCTTGTGACCTTTAAAAAGCCATCGGTGCCGTGGTATCCTTTATAAGAGGACCACAAAATTTCAGGGCTTTCGATCTTCTCACTTTTAAGGAAGTACGGAAACACTTCACTTGAGTTCCAAGTGGAGTCTTGCGTTGCTCGGGCCCAATGGTTGTAGTCGTCTGGGCAACCACGGACATATGCCATGTAATTAACACTGCTGCTACCCCCCAGTCCTCGACCGCTCGTCAAGTTAAGGGCGCCGATTTTATGACTTTGGTATGTTCGGTGGTCGTTTCTCGATGTATAATTGTAATCAAATTTTGTTCGTGGTAGGTACGGGAAAAGACTTGGCGTCTGAAAATGATTGAGGTTATAATAAGAAATATACATAAGCTCGTGCCTCCATTTCTAGATAAATAGATTTACTTACAAGGGACTCTAGAGGTGGATCATCACCAGCCTCTAGAAGCAAAACTCTGAAATTTCCACATTCAGTCAGCCGGTCTGCCAGTACGCTACCGGCTGACCCTGCACCCACTATGATAAAATCGAACTCCTGGTCATCTAAATGGATTAAATAAAATTTACATGTTTTACGACATTAGTCAACCTTTTTTCCATTTATTTGTAAAAAAAGAAGTTACTCACTGAAGATGTTTGCTTGCTTTGGAAAAAGGTATGCAGTGAGAGCCAAATACGTCGCAATAACACCTAATGCATTTTGTATTATATTAATTTGCGTAATTACAGCCCCAGGATCCATATTTGCACACCTGTAATCAGTTCATCGGACCATAGTCCTTTAATGGCTCTCATATCATGATCGTTACTAAATCGGTTAAGGCTATTATGAAACAATACGATATAAAGGGGCAAATCACTAAATATAAATTAAATTATAAAATCGCATACATATTACGTAAGACGTTACTTATATCGGATTTTTGCACTATTTCAAAATAAATTACACTTGCTTACGGAATATAATCTTATGAAATTAAAAGAAAAATATTAAACTTATTACTAAATTATGAGTCAACATTTTGGCGTTAAGAGTTCAAAGGATAGGGAAATTATTTTTCCTCTTTTGAGACTTTCATGGACAACGTGTATGACACCTTTTTGGCTATATGATTAAACCTTTTCCCTAGCAATGCGTTCAGCGCCAGAGGTCGGGTTCGAATCCTGGGAAAAAAGATTATTTCGGTCGGGAAGAGAAGTCTTATGATCTTGACAGTAAACGACAAGTGGAACGGTCACAGAAACGTACTTGGCCCATGCCCCACGGGAAATGTGATTTCACTTTGCGGTGAATTGCTTGCGTATTTATAAAAATACGAGATACAATTTTTCAACAAGTTTAGAATTTGTTTTTCGTTTTGGGTCCAAAAAATATTTTAGTCCACAACTGTATTTAAATAAAACATTGCATATTATATTTGTTAAACTTATTTGAAAATTATTTTAACTATGGCTCAAAGTTTCGGATGCTTTGCAGCAGTACGCCATATATACATGTTTTAAACCGTTAAAGTGTTTATTTAAATGTGTACTACTCGCGTAAACTACAGTCAGTATTTTCTACAACATGTTAGATTAAAGTGAACTTGTGAAGGATTACCCCTACTTACACACAATATTGAGAAGGTACAGCACAAGCGCCTTCAACGTAGCACAGGGGGTAAATACAATAAATTGCTTTCGCTTTAGAATATTATTACCCCACTTAGTTTCCCCGATAAAACCAGTCTGTCTCTATATAAAATGACTCATTGTTATATATAGCCTTTGTGTCGATATTAAATGCACACTATTAACAAATTTGATGAAGTTAAATTGAACGATACCGGATTTTTTTTATACTGCTCTAGTTTTTTCAACACATTATGTTTTTACATTATAGTTATTTTTGACATTGTTTAGTGAAGTTAGATTATGAATAACATTAATAAATAAAAACAGTACATTCATAAAAATTGCAGCTACGAGTGGAACCACAGAACAGAGTCAGTTGTGGTTTGAATAAAAGTGTACAAATAATATCTAGATTATTTTTCTACTATAATATGTGCAAGATATAGTATTTATAACAACATTTCTTTAATTGTAAATAAACCATATTTGTATATACTTTAAATTTTATGTATATTTATATCAGAATTGATTTCCATGATAGATAATAAATATGCGCCGCGTAACGCTTTTGCCGAGTAACGAGTACCGAGTTTTATTGGGCTCATTTTTATTTCAACCGAGTAACTCGGTCCAACCAAATATCCCTATTCCGCGCGCTTAAACAATTACAAACAGGTTTGCGCCAGTTAAGACGTCGCCCACGCCTTTCAACTACCAGTCACTAGATTTTTTGCAAACGTTAAATTACTAATAAATACTTTTTTATTAACTCTGTTGTTTTAATTATATAAAACAACAGAGTAAACATATTGCATTTCTTCAAATCAAAATCAAAAAACCCGCAGAGTACCGAGTATCAATCGAGTACTCGGCCCATCTCTAATAGATACAACAGCGATCATTCTCGTTATCTTTTTTCATTTAAGCTATTATAAAAGTAAAATTGCTTATATGTCAATGGGTGAAAAGAATACGCAAATTTTCCACGTATTTTTAATGACCTCAAAGTACATACATATATATTATTACGATAAAAAAGAATTTCTTAAAATAAAATTTTTCGAGTCTATTAAATACAAGCTAGTAAAACTAGATAAAACAGAATTGCTAATTCAGTAAATACATAAGTCCGTAGTCCAAACTTGGTTTATAACGATTATATTTCAAAAATAGTGTATTTTACGTTGAAAAATAATATATATTTTTGACTATGATAATTAATCTATGCTATTGTATTAAAAAGACTATGAGAAAAAATATCTTCGATTGATGCCGAGGGATCGGCAAAGGAACTTAATTTTTTAAGACAAAATACTGCGATCCTAAAAATAAAATCTTCCACTAACCAACTTCTACTCATCCAACATCCCATACTCCAACAGCGAATAAAGATTTCTTTTCGTTTTGTGAGATTAGTCAGCCTGGTATTAAAAAGATCAGAAGAATTGCGTCAAAGATAAGTTGAGACAAATATTGTAAAATCCTAATAGTGTTTAGTTTTACAGGTGTTAGAGTACGTATGTAAACGTCGGCCACGCAAAGGTTTCCTGTCAAATCGTTCAATAATAAACTAAGCTACATATTTCAATGAGTAGCCTATTGCTACGTTACGGCTCTCTACGGGCAAATCAATATCTAGGTGGATGTAGCATTAAATAAATAAAGAATTCTCTACTAAAACCTGTTTTTAAGATTGCCAAGATCCTAATGGTTACTTAACACTATGGTTTAGAGCTGTTCGAAACGTCGAGAACCACTCCTACAACGGCCAAACAGCTCAAACACACATGGCAGGAAAGGCCTTTCATTAATTATGATTGTTAAATAATCCGCAGAGAGCCAGCTGCGTCGCTACACTGGACAGATCGACGCACAAACCTCACCTCTAGTCTTCGCTAACGAAACCTTAACACTACAAACATTATATTAATTCCCAACAGTGAGTTCAAGAGACTATGTACAGAAAAACTATCGATAGATGTACCTTAACCTTACGCAGCGGTACAATGTCAGTCGACAAGGGTTCAGAAAAAGAAATGTCGTAAAACAGATCTCAGGTGCAGCTGAGGTTTTCGAGGAGATAACGCATATTAATCGTAATTTGTTAGTTGCGTAAGTTTTCTACGAATATTTTACGGCTACTTCTTGATAGCTGGCTTATCCGCTACTTCGGCCTTGATTTCTTCTGTCCTCCCTATCTTCCCTTCGCCTGTAATAAACGTTATTTAATAAAATACTGTCACTATATTTAAGAAGCCAGAATTACAAAACAGTATAAATATTCACCGTTTGGCGTATCGTGGTCGTGATCCGTGTGTGAGCGCCTGCGCTTGCGCGGGAACTTCCACGAGTTTGCACCTCCGCCGGTTTTCAACTTAGGCAACGGCTCCATATCCAAAACCTGTAAACGCCATCAATCATTACTTAATACTATTTCGGATATACCAGGATAAATATATTTAATAATACGCACCTTATGAATTTGCCTGAAAGCGATCTGCCTAAGGAACTGCTGCGCGGACGCTGTCAGGTCCTCGCGCTGCTGCGGGGCCAAATTCCCGAGAGCATCCTGCAATTTATTATTTAGTTATTTTTTCCCCCTTTTTATATCCTACATTTTAGTAAAATATGTATATCTATACTAATATATAAAGCTGAAGATTTTGTTTGAACGCGCTAAGTAATCTCAGGGAGTACGGGTTCGAATTGAAAAAATATTTTTGTGTTGGTTAGAGCATTTATCGAGGAAAGTTATAGGCTATAACACCTATGCGACTAATAGGAGCGAAGATACAGCGAGAAATGTGAACAAAACCGGGAAAACTTTTCATCTCTGTAGGTTTCAGATGCGTACGCTGCGAAGACGGTTCAAGATACCTAAAAATTGTATATGAAAGAATGATCTAAAAAAAAAGTCTGAATTTAAGATTAACTTGCAAGAACGTACCCGAACGAAGGGACGCGTACGACGGGATACGAATATCGTGGGTAACACGTATCTACACTAATATTATAAAGAGGAAAGATTTGTATTTTTGTATGATAAACTCAAAAAGTACTGGACCGATTTTAATAATTATTTTATCATTAGAAAGCTACTTTATCACTTAGTACTAGATTACCATAGAAATGTTTAGAAATTTATATTAAAAGCAACGGGAGGTGTAAAAAAATTTGCTATAAAATGTCTTTCGTCGCATACGGTGCGAAAAGTATTAATGATAGGATAAAAAAATCTTCGATAATATTATACAATATATACTTATGGTCTCGGGATGTTTTTTGTAGATATTGATCTCTAACTAATGTAGTTATTATTATTATTATTTTCTATCGGGGACACCCTTGGCAGGACGGGTGATCAGTCCACGTTGTCCGCTGACCATTTCACCCATTTCCCCATTTCCTCCTTGAACTAATGTAGTTACGTCACTAAAAAGTACTTTTTTATATTTACCAAATTGGTAGAAACGCCGAACAAAATCAAACCGCGTTATCCATATCATTTATACATTATTATTAAAATAAATCACTAATCATATTATAAATGCGAAAGTAACTCTGTCTGTCCGGCTTTCACGCTGAAAGTACTGAACCGATTTAAATGAAATTTGGTACACAGATTCTAGAGTCTAAAAAAGGACATAGGCTACTTTTTAATGCCAAAAAAGGTATGTCAAGGGTTGAAAAAGGGGATGAAAGTTTGTATGGAAATTAGTGATTTTTGAAGCTAGAACAATGAAACTTTTTGAGAATGGGAGTAAGAGGGGAAAAGAGAATGGGACTGATGTGAGGTGGGAGTGGGAGTGTTGCGGCAAAGTAGCACTTACAACACAGATTGGCTGCCTTGAATGCGCCTGTGCATTTAAAAAAAATTGCTGTACGAAAAAAAGATAGTAATGGGTTGAATGAGGTATGAAAAGTTGTGTGGATGTATTGTAATTAATTTTTAGAGAACTTACTAATATTATAAATGCCTAAATAATTGAAAAATTCTACCCAAAGTTACTAATTCCACGTAGATGAAGTCACGGGCACAGCTAGTAATAAATATTTATCTGTTTGTAACGCATTATATAACTAACCACAAGCTCTTTCTCGCAAGGGTCGCGTAGACCGGGTCCTTGCTCTAGCAGCAAGCCGCCTGCGACAGCTTCCATCACGCGTCGCAGCGCCTCTCCGGGAGAGAGAGCTCCGCCTGCAGACTGCATCACTCCAGACACCAGCAACTCCATTGCCTAAACAAGAACTATCTTCAGCAAGACAAACAGCTGGATCTCGTGTGAATTTATAGTAAATGACATTGTAGAAGAATTAACGTGAATCATAACCATATCCTCGTAAAGGTTCGAAATCATTGTAAATAAAGTTCAAGGAACATTTTATGTATACATGTGTGTTTATTGTAGAATACGATGTGGTCCTCGTTATTTTAGTTTAAAGTGTACTAGTTTTATTACTCTAACAGCGGTGGAGCCCCTACAATCAGTGTTGCAATACAAGCGTGTTCGTAAAGTGGGTGGTTCGTGAGTGGCGCCAGTTTTAAGACTTGCCATTGTTAATTTTTAATATGCATATTGTATTATATAATGTGTATTTTCGGTATGCAACTTTTAAATAAATTATTATTTTTTATATTATTTAAAAAATTACTCACGTAGGGGTTCAGCGGCGTCCAGTTGGGGATCCTTCGACAAAGATCACGCATGATGCGGATGATGATCACACAGGATTGGAGGCTGGCAGCTCTAGCCTGCGACAGGATATCGTTCAAAAACTTGTCTCTCGTTCGAGGATGAGTTTCGAGGTGCGACATAAGCTACTCAACCATTTTGAAAACGTGCTATCGTAGGTGCAAATGTTACAATTAAATTTGATAAAAATGTGAGAATCGATTTGACATACGCGTAACAAGATCAGTTCAACTATGGGAAAACGAGGATAAAACTGTCATCGATAGTTGGAAGGACTTCGTCTTTACAACACATTCGATTCGATACGAGTATATCAAAAGTAGTGAGTTTTTTCTGTCGCACCCACTTCTCACTGCTTCACGCCATTATACAGGACACTTCAACATTCGATCCATACATTCTAGCCACATTTAAAAATTTTGTTTAATGGAACACGGGATTTCTCGTTTATATCCTAGTTCTTTGTTTATTCCATTAGCTTTTAAACTACTAAAGCGATCAAATCAATCCTGCCTAATGAAAGGATAGGAAGTTAGGACCGAAACAAGAAGGCATCCCGACAATAAGCAAAAGCAGAGTTCACATAGTTATTCATAGTTAAAGTACATTCATAATCCTGACTCCCGGCGGCCTTCCATCACTTGTAGCCACATGTTCAAAGGGAGGGGAACGCTTACTTTAATCTAGATTACTACTTGTTTAATTATATAAATTTTATTTTAATATATAAATAAAAACATGTGACTAAAAATATGTGCGCAATAAATCTTTTAAACGTATTAAAGACACGTACAACTTACATCACACGTTAGGATAACATAAAAAAAAATTATAACAGTGTGTCGTCTACTGATAAATCAGACGTATCCATAAATATTATTACACAAACGCCGATAAGTTTTTGCAAGACTCTTACGACATGAAATTATGAAAAAAGCTGGGGATAAATGGGATATTAAAGATGTATTACGCACTCTATAGGTTAATACATTCGATCCTTACACCGCACACACGGTAACACTCCAAACCTGATATTTATTTTGATTCGACTTTATTTCGAGTAAATAAGGCTACTGATGTACCGGTATGATGTAATGGGACCGGTGCGGTGTAAGTATCGAAGTGGACAACCGTGAATGTAATGTGAGTACCTGGAACCACTTGGCGTGCCGAAGGGCGGCCAACGCATCCAAGCACTTCTGGCGCGGGAGCACATCCTTGTCGTCTCGCTTGGCGTCGCCGCCCTCTAGCGACAATAAAGGGTGTTTGACCATCGGAACCAACGCGGGGCAAACATACACGCGCCCTAACTCTAAGTCCTAACGTCCGCAAGGTGCGTGCACACAACGCTTAACATATCCAAACTAGCATAGCACATTCGGTCTAGACAAGTACATCTGTAGTGTTCTAGGTATAAATATATAAACATTGATTTTAAGAAGTCGTGTGCACCCTGCATTTACAAACTTGCTACAAAATATTGGTAAAAAATTATGCATACAAAATTGCCTATTCACTACTATGTAAGTAGTGATACTATGTGGTGAGAGAGCGCGGTGTTTGCCTCGGTTAGGCAGTGAGCGATATAGCACCAACGGGTGGTATATACAGCGGATGGTCAAAAAACCTTCTTCCGCTCCTTAAGCTACACCTAAAAATAAGCATCAACACAGTGCCCGCGGGCGTCAACTTAGAACAAATTATCTCCTTTACACAGTATAACAGATTGAAAATATAAAACAACTAATCGATATAACATAGATAGTTTGTTCGGCCAGTTTGGTCGATTTTGACTACCAATTTCATCATAGAGTGAACGGTTCGATCGTGAAATCGGTTATCAACGCATGGGCGGTATGAAATTGGTCTCGAAAATCGTCAACGAGGAACGTGCGATAGGGTGTTTATGCTCACCGGCGGGCTCGCGCATGACGGCCGAAGTCAGGCTGACCAGAACGTTGACGGTGCCGTCGGACACCTGCACGGCGCCCTCGGCCGGCAGCAGGTCCACTTTGTACTTGGACTCGTCGTTTGGTGCCTATGTGAAATAGTAATTGGAATAAAATTTATTTATTTAATTCATTAATTCAAATACCACCAAGGATGCGGACCCCCCCCGCCCCCCCTAATGCGGCTTCGATGCTCACATGCCACATACTAAAAGCTTCTTTTTAATCAGGGATGTCACGGAAGTAGTTTTACTAGAACGGAAGATCAAGTGAAAAAATAATTAATTATTGACGATAAGTGCAAGTAGCGGCAGTCGGGGGAATTCCCTCCGCCACATGTATGAACCTATTTGTTACAGTCGACAAAGCCCGCTGTCGCCACCATTTTTACCTCCGTTTTCGAGGTGTCGGAGCTAAAGTCGGAAATGGAAAATCCGGAGTCGTAATTTGGTAACATCCTTGAAAGCTATTAAAGTACCAGCCGAACATAGGTTAAGTGTTTGAGGACTTAAAGGAGAAAACAGGAACTGAAGATTTAACTTACTCTACATGTCACGGTGTAATAAACGTTCATCAAGTGTAACGTTACCTTAAGACGGTGCAAATGTTGTGGCAGATCAGCGGCTACACGCTTGAGCAACGTGATGGTGGGTCTGTCATGACACAAAACGACGAGGCGCACGTCCTTGTCACCTCGTAGCAAAAGTCCTTTGGCCAACAGCCCAACGCGCATCACGCCTTTCAACGCCCGCGCAACCGTTCCAGCCGCGGCGGTACCACTCGCATTAGCCTCTCCGCTGCCGCCGTTGTTGCCCTCGCCCTCTCCCATAAACGAAAATCTAACAGAGAGCAAAAATCAATTTAAAATTTTTAAGGGTAACTATAATATGTAATACAGACTGAATACCAGCACCACCACCACCACCACCACTGCCACGGATTCTGACAGCACTGATAGGTGTTAAGAACGTAATTTAATTTTAATAACTAGTTTTTCTTGTATAAAAATGAGCACACATTTAGACAAATACAAGATAGAAAATTAAAAAATATAATAACTTACAGTTGGTTATCACGTCCGTCTTCTTTTCCCTCGGGTTTGTCATCTTTTTTGTCCTCAACTTTGACTTGCGGTTTTGCAGCACCCTGTTGGTGATACATGGAAACGCATCTAATAATAATTAATAATAATTTTCTCATTTCACTGTATATTTATTAATTATTTTGGATATTTTTAATATTAAATTGGAATTTCTAGAGGTTCTTTATTAAAGTGAAATTTATTTCGTGTTATTTATGATCTAGTCTTGACTGGTTTTTTATAGCTTAGGGTATAAACAGCAAGCGCTTTACATTGTGGAAAAACGTTCTTAAATCTAATGTTTTGAATTAAAAATTTTACGACATCGGCAGGACTTGAACCGGCATCCGCAGCGTTCCGTGCTACCGATTTCTACAGATGCACTTCTCGCGCAATGTAATTTAAATCTTTACACTTGCGTATTAAGGTTTACTGCCTTATGCTTTGTAGCTGTACCTTGGACTGAGCTTGTTCAGCGAGCGCGTCTGAGAGCGACTTGAGCGCCTTTTCCGTATGCGACACGACGCGTTGTATCTGCTGCAGCTCTTGTTCTTCAGGATAGATCTCCGCGTGGCGTGCAATCACGTGCCGGTCGTCCGACGTCTCCGGCCTGCGGCCCACGTTGCCGTAGCCCATGCTCATGCCCTTATAATGGATATTTTAAATTAAAACGAATTTTCGTCAATACTAAATAATAACATATAGTGTATTTTTTCATATATGCATGGCATTTTTGGTAAACAAATTGAAATCGACCATATTTGTTCATTTGGTCTTTTGCCAAGTTAGAAAACTCACACTATACTTAGACTAACTATTGCAATATGCTTAGAAAATATCTTTACAGTAACATTCAAAAGTCTTACTCCATATTACTGTGCTATGTTAATGGTTTAAGATTTCCGTGGCTTCACAAGCTTCGCGTTTTATACTTCTGCAAAACATCTTTAAGAAGTATCGGAATAAAAGGTTTTTAAAACTACTTACATGATGATGGTGGTGCATGTGCGGCGGCAAAGGCCCCCTTGCCCACCATGCCTCAGCGCCACTCTCCCAGTATGCGCGCTCGTCATCTTCTATGCCCTATGAGTGAAAATATATGGTTATAACCAAATAATTAATATAAAGCATTATATGATAGAAATTAAATTGATTATTAACCTCGTGCATACGACGCCGCGCCCACATCTCGTCTCTCACAAGCATTCGCTGTGCCTTAGCTTCTGCTAGCTTGCGTTGGTGCATCGATGGCTTCACTTTCACTTCCAGGTCTGGTTGAACCTAATAATGTTCACAGACATGACCTTTAAATCTACTTCTTGCTACTAAATTGTTATTTTTTAACATTTACGAAATCCTCATTGCAGTTTATAATCATATGACATCTGGAACTCTTGGCGACCAACAGGCTACCAGGCTCTACAAATGCCTCAAACCTTTTACTAAGTAATCATTGGAGAGCAAGGAAAGAAAGGAAAATAGACTACACAAAGTATGTTTGCTGGAAGTAGAAATATTCCAACCTATATATAACCTAACCAAAATGCCAAAATGTCACGCGAAATACCGTCCGGGTCACGAACCACCGTCCACAGATGAAAAAGCCATCAATATGAATTGTGTTACGGTTCTGTGGATTTCGCAATAAGCAAAACCAAAATAGGTCGACAGCACATCTTGTAGATGTCATATGGCTGGGGTATTTGGGCTGGGGTATTTGCCTTCCCATCAAGTGAAGTCCATGCTTGTCTGTCCTCCTCCACTTAAAAAAAATACCAACATGATTCAGAAAAATTATAAATTGAGTAGAATACTTTTGAACCCAGTGGGGATCAAAAACAGGACCCGACGTTTATTATTAGGAACTGTTAATTTTCATTAAGTCAGTAATTATAATTCACATTACCTTCTTCTTGTATTGCAAGCGATGTCTGCGTCCTTTCATGTGCATTTCCTTGGCGTTGGGGTCATTGAATTTGCAGTCGCAAAGCTTGCAGTTGAAACTTTGCGGCTTCCCATCGTCGCCGCGGATCTCCTCGATGTAGTCCTGCCCCACTGGCTGCACCTCCTCTCCGTCGTCTTCTTCTTTCTCGCCTTCTTTGTCTGCGCACGGAGCATTCGCTGGCGTCACCGAGCTGAGACCTCCACTCGCTACGAACGCGATCTTCGCCGCGCCCCCAATGGCTTTGCTCGCTACGATTAAAGTCAAATTTTCTCTGTGTAGGCATCGAACGGGTTCTCTAGTGACCCCGTTTTGGACCTTTTCTACTTTTTGTGATTTTTTTACAATTTCTATTTTATTTTTTTCTTCTAATTGACTTCATCTGCTGCTGATTTACGTTTATTATTAATGATTGCTTCTCAGCGAGCTAATCTTAATTGATAGAAAGTTTAAGAGTAGAGATATCATAAAACATATTTCGAAATAAGTCAGAAGGACAGTATAAAAAGGCCCATTACACACTCCATATCTGTACCGTGTGTTTTACGGGGAGAAAATTTGACTTTGAGCAAATAGCACAAATGAGCGGCGGGACGCGTTACAGATATGATACTGTGGCGAGACGGGGTCAGCGCCGGCGCAAACATGCTCCACAACAGTGATCGGCAGTCACGGGAGGAGCATGTTTGATATACGAAACAACGTTGTGCGAGAGAAGGTCACAAGATGCAATTAAAATTAAAGAATACATACATAACATTGGTACAGGAAAAAGTAAAAAAAATCTCTCTTAGTTAATAGGAGATCCATGATAAAATTAGTTCAATTTCAAACACAATAGCAGGGATTTTGTTTAAATAAATGTATTTAAACTCAATTATGAGAAAGACCAGAATTATAAAACACGAAGCTTACCAGCAGACAGTTTAGTTGGCTCTGTAGATGGTATTGGTTTTCCGAGCATAGTATGCAGTTTCACAACTTTCTGATGCTTAATGCCACGCACATGGGCGGCATATGCGTCAGCACCGGTGCATGTCACGTCACATAGCTCACAGCGCAGCGCCGCACCCCCAGAACCTCGACCTCCAGCACCGCTTCCGCCGCTGCTATTCGCTTTGGCTGCAGCTTCCTTCTTCTTGTGCTTCTGGCCTTCTAAATGTTCCTTGTATGTCTGTGGTTACAATTGTAAACACATATTCAAATTATAATACTTAATATTGCATATGTGAAAAGAATTCAAAAGTCACCCAGGACATACATTTGTTGTCAATCTTATCAATTTAGCATATGCTATTCAGTATATACACATAGAATTGAGAAATAAAAGAAAAGATTAACTAACCTGTGGGCCGGCACAGGAGATGCGACACACATCACAATAATGGAGCTGTTGAGCTTTTGGTGGCGGCTTGGGCCGACGAGCTTGCCCAGCTCCGACACCACTCTTGTTATAATTCTTCCACCCACTGTAAATAATATCTACGTTAGGAAGTGTAAAAAGTTATAAGACGAAAAAGCAAATATAAAGAAACCTACGCGATTTAAATGTAACAAATAAATGAAACGATATCTTTATCATGTCATTAAAACAACTGATAAATTAATAACTAATATATAAAAGCAAAGTAATATGCAACAGTAATAACTACAATGAAAAAGAAATACGGAAGAGTACTCACGTGTTGGCAGCCGTCTTGTTCTGCTGCGCGACGTACATGGTGGCCGCGTTGTAGAGCGCTGTATCATAAGCAGAGTTGCCCCTGTTAGTCGCCGCTACAACACCACACAACCACACCACTCTCATTGTGCACCACTACGTGTTTCACTAAGCTAAATTCTTTTGAAACCCCATTTGACTGGGATTGCAGATCGGGGCTGTGATCCCATGGAGGATAAAATCCCATACTTCTACTATTGACATGTGCAGAGAATGGTTTACTTTTGTGTTTTCTACAATCAATATTCAGAAAATCTTACAAATGTATGCTACAATTGCTAACTTATCATAGTATAAATAAAAACCTAAATGATGCAAGTGCACTAGAATAATAACTATCCAGGTCCACTGTTATGTAGATCAAGAAAATAACAGGAGTAAAATTTGAATATTTATTGGTTTGTCTGTTAAACACCTCAATATTCTAAGAGTTTATCAATGGTCACTTCTTTTATTTCACATATATAGTGTAATGTGTATTGACCTAGTATGTAATATATGAATGACTACTAACGCTTGGCTTGCTGTGCTGCTGGAGCAGTATAAGCCTGTGCAGGGTATGATGCAGCCGCTGTAGTAGCTGTATAAACACTTCCGTAAGCTGCCTTCGCGCCGGCGCCGGCGCGCCCGCCGCCCTGGATTATGATATTGTTCTTCTGGTTTATATAGTATACTGACTCTAAGCTGGTATACATTATTATAACCCAACAAAACTATATACCAACATATTACATATGAACTAGCAGCCTTTTATTTCTTAAGTCAGGTTCATATTTTTTTCACTATTTGTTGGATTATTATTGAGGACAGTATTATTTATTACAATGGGCACATATAAGTTTAAAAGTATAGAATTTATTTTTATGAAATTAACAGTAAGTAAGGTAAAGCTTTTGGAATAGAATATATTTGTAAAAATTCAGTAGAAATTCATTAGTAGCATTTGAAATTTTAATACAGACAATAAGTAATCAACCAACCTGTGCGTATGTAGCAGGTGTCGAGTAGGCTGGTTTTGCTGTAGTATCATAGGCAGGCTGGGGCTGAGGGGCTGCTGAGGGGTATGCTGCTGCTGCTTGTTGATAATATGCACTTTTACTTGCGTCGTATGCTGAGGCTGCTGCTGCCGCTGCGTGAGCATGCGCATGAGCGGCTGCTAATGCAAGAGAAACTATTTAAAACAACACTTATGGAGTCTCCCTGTGACCACGACTGCTGCAAAGCATCCGAAATGTCGGGCCGAAGTTAAAATTCATTTTCAAATAAGTTTAACTAATCTTATACCTTTAATGTGTGTGTGTGTGTTAAAATGTGTTTTATTTAATCACATTTGTGCAATTGAAACACAATACACAATGTATGATATATTTATAGAAGTTTCTTAACAGAACAGCTTCATACCATAAATCAGGCTGGCAGCATGCTTATAAAGGCGCAACAGTGATATTAAAATGTTTTGAATAACCTATACTAAGGCTATTTCTTGACATATATCACAATTTTATATAATTATTTATTATGCATTATTCAACGGAAGATTTCCTGTACTCACATATATCATATTTAATAGTTAGGTATAAGTAATGAAGTAATTTATGAGGTTAATAACCTTACCACAAATATTCAGCAGAGTTCATACAATTAATGAGTTTAATATTACTAAGTATAAAATTATTTTTTTAAGATCATATAAGACCATACAAGCACCAAAGAACCATCCTCTATCGAAAATCCCACTGGGGCTATTTTCATTAATATGTATGTATGTATGGATGAAAACTAACAATGGTAAGTCTAATATTAATAGAGAATTACGAATACAAATACATTAATCTATTACCCTGAGTCGCGGCTGCGGCCTGGTAGGCAGTGTCGTAGCCAGTAGCTGCAGCACGTTGTGTTCCGTACGTCGCGGCTGTCGCAGCCGGCGCCACGGCGTACCCTGTTTGTCCACCGTAAGCGGCACCGGCTGTCGCCGCGCTAAAAATTACACGATACACTTTTAAACACAAAACACACCGTTTCTCTCCAAAATTTACTCGATCAATACATTGAAGTCGCCATTTTGATTACATCGAACAGAAGCACAGGGCTGCGTATTAGCAAGAAAATTGAGACTGCGCTCCTAATCAATATTGTAATGTAATTTTATGAAAATGAACTTACCCATATTGGGTACCGCCATGGGTAAACCCAAAATAGTTATTTGCTGCCATCATTAACCACTTCTCCGAATCGAAAATTTGTAATTTCTTCACAACGCAAAACAGGACATCAAAAGACCGGCGTTCCGCGATCTGTCTTGTAGTTATTTGACAAGAGAACAAAGATGGCGATCAATGACTACAGATTCTGCTATATACTTTTCTATTCTGTGGTTATCTAAACTTTGTCTATATCTATAATAAAATTATCGATATTAAAAATATTGAATTACATATTCTTTAATAAATTATATTATATTCTATAAAAAATAAAACTTGTGTGTTTGTATAGAAAAAAACAATAACTGAACTCAGTTTGTTATATTTATTGTGATAAGTAATATTTATGCATTAACAAATAAATAGTAATTTAAAGAATTTGTCTTGATCATTATTGTCTACGTTGGCTTAATCCTGAGTATACTCGACTAGCGGCTCGGGCAAACTAAACTCTATCTAAATGAAAAGTAAAAGTGGTAAAGGCCTTTTATTATTGAAGTATTTAAAGGTATACTTAAGACTAGAAGGCGTTGGTTTTTCAATAAAGTATCTAAAGAAAAACAAAACAAGCTACTCGTTCGGGTTTTTTTGTTTTGTCTTTTCCACATAAATGATGATAATAAAATAATAATAATTGGAAACTACCTTATACTAAATTGTATAAAACTTTCTTGGGCATTTTCAAAGCTTCTTGGATTTTGTATAGATCATATCATCCATTGGTGATGGTGTAAAGTCAAGTACAATTTGCCATTTACGACCTAGCCAAACTATAACAAGAAAATTGTACGTCGCTCATTAAAATTAAAGATTTTTGTACAAGTACAGATTGGTATAATTAAATGAGATATGAAATTATTTACTTATCTAAAATTAAGTAGCAAAAATACTGCACACTTTTAACCAATAGATTAAGCTCAACTTAACACTACATTTTAGCTAAGTTTAATTAAGAATACATTTAACCCAGTGAAGAGTTTTCGATTTTAAGGTTTCTGACATCCATAACTTTTTGGCAAACAATGTTTATACCACTCTTATATATAATGAGTATTAAGGAAAATAAAAATAAATTAACTAAATATTAAAATGTACCTACTATACTAAATGAAGGCAAAAACATTAATTTTAGCTACTGGAAGAATGTGTAAGACAATATGTTCATATTAATAAGATCTCAACCTAAAAAGCTCAGTGATAGCTTAGGAATAACTCAATTAAATAAAAATTCTTTAATTGAAACATAGTTAACAATTTAAATTTTAGGTTACAACAACTGAATGTTATGTTATAACAGTTATAGTCTAAAGCACTAAGCTAAAAATATATTTTGTTAGTTATACTTCTTCTTAATTATCTCTTCTTTTAAATTACTAAACATTTGTCCTCCTCTTATGATAAATGTTAATAAAAGCCTGTAATTATTTACAAGAAATATAATTTATATTGTACAAAATTATTTTAGTTTTCTTAATAAAAAAGGTATATTTATGTAGTCTCCTCTATTCATATTTTCAGTCAGTCTTCACCCAAGCAGTAACTTAAATATAATTGTTAAAATATTTAAGATTATTAATGGAACTGCAACAAAAATTAAAATTAGATTAGTTTTAAGTAAATTCACCCAATAATAATATATGAAAAAAAAATGTTTTAAAAGCTTTTCACTAAAACTAATAATTTCTAATAGTTTAATGTATGGTATGGTATACAACTTACTTCTTGTTACTGTTCGAATTGAACGGACTAAATTTAATATCTGGAATTTTATTGTTGATTGATCTTCAAAACCTTGCTGTTGAGTGTTAGTTCCCCAGCCCACTAGAACAAAAAATATTTTCATTAACAGTTCAGTAAAATTTCAATATTAATAATAATTTTAACCTTACTTTTTTGCATAAATCGTTCTTCGTGTAAAACACATACGGCATTTAGGCACAATAAACTAGCCTCAAATAAGTTCCATAAAGTTATCATTTTTTTTATGATACTTTTATTTGGTAAACAGTATTTATCTTAAAAAATATAGGCAAAGAATCACAGATTCCAACCGAAAACAATATTGTTAAGTTCCTTGATCCTTCTGTATTTACACGCACATAATACTTAGTGACAGATGACAGATGTGTAGTATTCATAAAATTACACTTTGGAAGAAAGTATTTCATTCTAAAATCTAAATATAATTATGTCAACCATCAACCAACATGACAGTTGAAACTTAAAATTTTCTCTTCTATAATTATTAGTATTATAAATTCGTTTACTAATAAAATTATTTTTACCAATTTTGTACTATGAAATTTTGTAACAAAAGATATCTATTTCTCTGTAAGAATTTAAGATAATAAAGAACAAAATGTTTGAGGACACAAAGGAAACCTGTACCAATATATTATGCAAAAAAGAGAACCCAGAGGAAGGATTTAAAATGATTCCATTTTGTGCAGAAGATAGTGGTCCACATTGGTACCAGGTTACTGGCAATGTAGTGACAAATCCTTTAGTTACTAAAAACCTACCTCTGTTTTTTCAAAGGTTTCCAATTCATTGTAAACCTAAAACAGAGAAAGACGTAGAGGGAATTCTCAATGGGGAAATCAAGAATTTTGTGGGTGATTTAATCGATGACGATTATGACAATCTAGAAGAATTTTGCAGGTCCGTAGATGATTAGTAGATAAGACCTATTTTATATTATAGTTTCATATTATCTATTTTTATTTCTTTGTTTTTCCAGTCCCAAGCATTTAGAGATTGGTGATGAAGTAAAAATGTCGAATTCATTACCTTCAAATCACACAGTTCCAACTGTACAAGTGGATGATGAATCTGATCTTGGTAGTAGTCTACATATTAATATGAAGTTGGCGTTGAGAAAGGATATGGATAAGAAGAATTTATATCCTAAAAAGCTTAAATATAGAGCAGTGAAGTTAATATCTCCACCAAAACAGGTATTTCTCCCTCCCTTTTTATAATGTTTTTTGGGTAATAATAAAGCTATAATAATAATAATTGAGTTCAATTTCATGTAAGAAGTGAAATGGAATCAAAAGTTAGAAATTTTTTATTTTACTTTTATAGGATAGAGATCTAATACCTGAAGAAGATTTGTTGCAACCAGGGAAAGACATCATTTTCAGAGTTCGAGTTTATAGGTTATTTCAGTATATTGAAAAAGGAAAGACAGTAAGTAACATTTTTATTTTTCCCACAATGTCGTCTGTTACATTTATTTAAATTAAACACTTTAACGATTTTAAACACGATATATTTTAGTTAAACTTGTTTGAGATTTATTTTTAACTACGGCCTTGATATACAGACAAATTATATGTCAAGTAACAGTGTTTTTATCTTTTAGAAAAACCGTAATGCAGTTTTAAATTCAGACATTATATTAGTGGGAAGACAGTATCTATCAGCTCTTAGGGATCGCATTGTGTGCCTTAATGATATATGCACAAGTGTTGATGTATCAGAGGCACCAGATGATTTACCTTCTGCTTCAGCTAAGGTAAGTACCTTGTGAAAAAACAGCTTAATACAATATATTAGTTTGTATTATTCGTTAATAAATCAAACAAAAAAATTAAATCTAATTCAAAAAATGATTATTTTTGTTTTAGGAGTTGTTCCCGTCTGGGTTTTTATTTATCAATAATGTGTTTTATGTGGATCAACGTTCAGGCTGTGTGGACTATACAGTCACAATAAGAGAATGGGCTGCAAATCGTGGGTTAGGCAATTTCCTTGTTCAAGATATGTCCAAGGTGAAGTTACAGGACATTGTACTCAAGCTTGGACATCCAGATGTATGTAATCTTTGTTGCATTTACTCTTGAGAACATTTTTTGTATTGTACCAAGCATTCTATGAGAGAAAGATCAATATTCTGGAAGAGGCAAATTTGCTAATCATTAAGTTAACATATTATATTTTTTAACAAGTATGTAAAAGTGTATCTAATTTAGTGATACACATTCAAAGTAAAGTAGGCTTAGCAGGTTTTTGGACATAATACTTTAATTTTTTTAGGTTTACATACACCAAGGTAACTGTGAGCATTTGTTGACGTTTTCTGAAGTACGACTACTGCACTCCTCTGATCCACTGGACCTAAGTTTATATCCATATCACACGCAAGCAGCTCAAAGTCAGACCATCTATTGCTCAACTTGCGGAGAAATCGGCTCTAAGTGGATTATTACAGACTGTGAACAAGTGCCATTCGACCCTACTTGCTTTTGTGAAATTTGTTTTAGACAATATTTATACAAAGATGGCAAGAAAACCTGTGATTTCAAAGCATTTGTGTACAAAGTCAATCAGATTAACATATATAAACCATTCAAATGATAAAAAGATTATAAGTTTGGGTTGAATAGGTGTTTGAGAAGTGAGAAAGAATTTAAAAGTGCTCTTTGAACTCAATTTAGATAGGGATAAGAGAAAGAAGTGAATAGGACGCAAACATAAGGTTGGTCTTAGTATGTTTTACCTTGTTATTATCATAGTCTTTTTTAAATAAAGCACTTTAACGGTTTAAAACGCGATATATTAGTTCAAGGTAGTTAAACCGGTAAAGTGTTTTATTTAAATTTGTACTACTCGCGTAAACTATACACATTATTATCATAGTTGGTCCACTGTTTGTTTGATGTGTGTGGAAAGCTGGATATGCCCATGATAGTCGTGATAGATTGTGCTGTATTTAATGATATAATTTCATAAGGTATTGTTGTTTTTTAATAAATGGTATTGAACCTCTTTATTTATTTATTATGTATATTAATAGTGTATATGAACATTATGTTAATTAACCTCTACTGAGGAATACCAAGTAGACACCAAAATAATATTGTTTAGTAAACATACTTGTTTTTGGATAATGGATGGCTAACTATCCTAAGTTTGTAATATTTACAAACAAAGGTTCCCGTCTCGGTTTCCCAATTCTGAGACCGAAATCCCTTGGCCACCTGATTAAGGGGATTTTTAAAATGAAAGTATACTTGTTGATAATTAAATAATATAGCGGAGAAAATATACAGGTTTGTGTAACGACATTAATGATAGAGCCAAGCCGTTTACATTAAACCCACATTACTTTATCTGTTTGCAAATCGGGAACTAAAATCTTGACCTATATCTTCAATTGTGTTGACCCTAATCACCAGTTAATACGCCATGAGATGTTACAATGATGATAGCATAGTGAATGAGAGATTTTGGTAATCATCAATGTATTATGTTAACGATAACAAACTTCTCGCGATAAGATTTTGTGCTAAACTGCGATCGGTCTGGTGATTTCCACACTTTAATTATGATCGAAAGTGATTGCAACCCTTAAGCCAGATCAAATTTTATCACAGACTAGCTGTGTCAGCGACCTTGTCTGCGTTTTGGGTATCTTGAACGGTTTTCGCAGCGTACGGATTGGAAACCCTCTAAGATGAATAATTTTCCTGGTTTATTCCACATTTCCCGCTGTTTCTTCGCTTCTGTTAGTCCCATCGCGATGTTTTAATGTATATATCCTTCCTCGATAAAAGCTCAAACAAACACAAAAATATTTTTTCACTTAGAACCAGTGTTTCCTGAGATTAGTGCGTTCAAATATATAAACAAACAAACTCTTCAGCTTTATATATTAGTATAGAAAAGGACAAACAAGCATTGATGAACGGTTAATACCGCAGGCAAATACATAACACCTAAATAAGATGCAATATCTATGTTTTAAGGTTTTTTCCATATGTGGACGGATGATTCGCGGCGCGGACGGTTTTCGATATTCTTACCTTCCATTAAACGCGATGTCCAACATATTTCAGAAATTTTATAAATTGTAGCAACGTGGTAACCATATCAGCAACATTTAAACAAAGGAAATTCAAATACCAGCCCCTGCAATATTTTGATATATGATATTGCTCACCTTTGAGTTTTTATTATGACAGGAGTGTAAAAGTTAATTTGCGTAAAGATACCACGATTTTTGTAGAATGAGTAATAGTGTTGATGCATAGTAACTGGTTCTCATTGTTAAGATTCACTTTGCTTCTACTAGGTATATGCAAGCGACAGAAATAGTGTCAATTGTGGAATCGAGATAACTGATGCAGTGATGAGGCAGGTGGTCTTCCGCGAGGGCGTTTCCTGGACGGCACGTGTGCTGCACGACACGTGGATAATTGCATTCCTATCTATTTAATCCCAGCGGCTTGTTATCAACAGAACCTATGGTAATCTTTCAATTAAGTATATATCCATTCACATTTATGCTTATGCGATGGTTGTTTTGGTGGGCCCACTGGATACAACAACGTGGTCGGTCGGTGTTAAAGGATTTGTGCTCAACTGTTGGACATAATGGGCTGAATCAAGTGGGGTTTTTCACATATAATTTCTACCAAGTGAATGACTTTGTAGCAAAAATGAAGTAGACTCTCTTCTAGGAAAGGATTCAACATATTCCAATGTTCATCCTATGTTTATACTGTAGGTAGAACACAGTCGCAGAACGATGATGTGACCGGGCCATTGAGACCAATGTTCACTTTTAAATTTAATTATACACTTGCTGCTTAATAATCATATCTGGTAAGCAAATAGTAGTTACAACTACCTATCTATCTTAGCCACAATTGGAGTTTATACTGTTATTAGTTCAGGTTTAAATGGGGCGGTGGAGGATCAGAGTATTCATATTTTTTATGTCTTAATTTTACAATTAAATTTATAACACATATCAAAATATTTAGTTAAAACTATTAACGAAGTGGAATGCTTTTTATGAACTACCATCGCTACTATATTAATAACAATAAGTGAATTTAATAACGTACATATTTAAATTTTAAGTCATGTGCCAACCATGCACATTTATGATTATTATAGTGAAACCCCCTTTCCCCCATGGGGCATGGGGTCAACATATTTTTGTCTCAGTTTATCTGATCGTTTTTTTTACAGGCAAGTAGTTGATCAGACTTCTGTGCCATGCCCGATCGAAACGATGTATTGTCTCCCCGGGATTCCAGGCTAGGACCTCTCGCGCTTAACGCAGTGCTAGGCGACACACCATTTACCATTTAGTTACGGAGGCGTCCATGTATGCTATAGTGTAAAACATAAGTTTGTGATCGTGTTGCAAACACAGTAAAGAGTGTGTCGGACTAATAATGTGTACAGTTTCGTCCACACGACCACGTTACCCTTTGAACAAGTAAACTTTAAAATCATACACTTCTGGAAAACACGTGCTGAGCGAATGCTGCAAATTCAGTTGCTTGGAATGTGACCCAATAAATTAATTTTACATTCATGTGAAAAACGACACTTATGTTCTTGTATTTTGCTCACAATGCATTCTGCTTAACATTTAATACTTTCTCTGTCTAATATTAATAAGTATTTGTATCTATTAGATGCTATTTTTTAGGGCTTTTTGACGGGCTCGTTAATAGTTAAGGGGTCGTGGGTTCGAGCCCCACCGGGTCCGACATGTTTCTAATCTATTTATAGTTTTTCGGAAACACGCTGGTCTTCGTCAGGCAATTTGCACATTAAACGGGTGGTAGATTAGTTAGGTACGTATATCGAAATTCGCTCGGGTTTTGAACCACTGTCCACAGATGAAGAAATCGTTAAGTTTACTAGTGGTGCGGACATTTTTCGCGCCTCTTTTCTATTATCAACTTTTGAAAACGTTTTTTCCTACTTCAATAGTAAATACGAATAGTTTAGTACAGTGTGGCGGTGATCTCACCGCTGTACAAGATAAATATTGCACACGTGGTTCGCTGTATGTCAATAGTATCTCATGGTGGGAATACGTCGATTACATAACTCTGTTTATATGTGCGTTGATGTACATAAAACATTCTACTTTGTCTGTACATCAGTCCAAATAAAGTTAATTTCATGATACCTAGTAATATAACAAGACACAAAGATAAAGTTATAATAATTATTATTATTCGAGAAATTGACTGCCTCCTTAAATTAATTACTGTGATAATTAGCATTGCAATAAGCATGGTCCTGGGTTCAAATCCAATGTAACGATAACTTGTTTCATTTAGGCAGGGTGTAGACTCTGATCAACGACCTGTAATAAAAACCCGTTCCTTCACACAGATGAGTTTGCCCCCATACTCCTCGCTAAAACTAGAAATCTTAATCTCATGGGTGCTAGATTAGAATAGAAATAAAAACTTTATCTACACCGACCCAGTTTGTGTTAGTAAACCAGGTTACATTATAGATGAGAGTGTTGTGTCACATGGAGTAACAAGTAAACAATTAATATACCTGCTGCATCTCTTTGCGTGCAATCGAAAATTCGAATCGAGACACTGAAGTAATAATTAATACTTTCAACCCGTTGTTAGTCAACCTCTATAATATTATCGCGGTTGAAAGTAGATTTTTCGTATGGTCAAAGTATTTAAGACTATTGACAAATGAAAGAAAGTGTAGTCCTGTATTTTTTCCAAGAACATTTGTACCAACTAGGAGTTTGAAAGGATGTTTGAGTCCGTGAATCCGTTCTGGAGCAGCGTGGCTTTTATGCGAGGGACTGCTCCCACCTGTGGGACTTAGATAGGTCGAGTTCGATTTTGTACGATAATAGAAAGGTGACTTCTAGATCTTTCTATCAATAACTTGATTACTATTAAGAAAATTGAATTTAAGATATATATATTAATAGAACTTTTTAAAATGTTAAAATTAAACTGCTTACTGGAAGTGCAACTTATTTATTTATAAATTTTAACCACTAATATTAATTTACTGCAAGCTACTGAGGTATTGATTCTGAAAACTATATATCCTATAGATAGACGAAATATTGTAGGATTCCGTACGAAACATAGCAAAAAACTCTTTGGATACCCAAATGGTACTATGTTTTCTCAATATTAAGAAATTGTTACAGATGGCACTTAAAGTATTGATTACTTTAAGAAAAATTTAATAATTACGGCATTTGCTCTAAAGTTGGCTAAAATTCTGGCTAAAGCTTCAGTTACGCAATAGAATATTAATAGCGTCTACATAGTGATTAATGCAATTGAATTTATCTATCAATTGTATGCTGATTGGTGAATCAATGGGTCGTAACGGTGATTGGCTTATCTGAAACCTTGGATGCCTTTTAACTGTATCTAGCTAACATAAGTTTACGTTATTGGCAGCTTTTCGTGTTTCATTCGTCTTTATTGTGTTTCTCTTTTCTGGAATTCGCTGTGCAATTTTAAGACAAATTATTGGACGCCTTAAAGTCGGTTTTTCATACACCTGAGGTTATCCCATGCTATTACCAAAAGTTCTCTGTATGTCCCAACAAACTATTTCACAAGAACCGGGACAGTTGAAATTTTGACACTAGTCGTTATAGTACAATTTAGCAGTAAGGATACCGGCTAGTTTCGCCTTTTTAGTATACCAAGTAGTTGTCGTCACGGGGAGACAAGTCTCGGCTGCTAGCGAAGCACAGGTAGTTAAAATAATATATATAAATTTAACGTGAGATACATCGCAATCTAAATCTTTTCCTTTACCCGTAAAAGAAAACGGCTTCTGAAATATTCACAAATTATTCTAAGATTCCTCATTAATTACGTGTACCGACTAGTTAAAATATGACATTTTGAACTAACTTTAACTAATATAGTCGCACGTTTTTTAAACCGTATAAAGTAGGTTTTGAGATTAAAATTAAAAAGCCAATAACCCCACTCTGTTATATTAACGTCATTCTCGCAAGTAATAAATCTTATATTAGACACAATTAGCATAGTTCTGTAGAGACGATAGCTAGGTAAAACTAATTGGGTCGCGCTGGAAGGAGGCTGCAAACAGAGATTAGATATCTCTCGCAAACAGCCTGTGTGATAATGTTGATATAGCGCCACGGAATCACCATTAATAGAATTTCAAAATTAAAGTTACGAAAATTTAAGGTTTGCAATTATGTGCTACTTATTTACAATGCATGAGAAGACACAAGCATGGAGTTCCCTTGATGAGAGGTGAAATACCGGAGTCATATGACGCTGCTAGAGGCAGAGTGGCCTAATAAAAAATGTGTTTTAATAGGAAGGAAGAAAAATAAAAATGCGCATTTAACTTAGGCGAAAATGAATTGAACTTTATTTCATTTGTATAAATTGTTAAAGATTATATTAACAATATTCGGTCTCTGTGCATATCTAGCATCAGTAGATTAACATTTTTGACTGTGAAAATATAAATAACTCAAGTCATAAAATTGAAGTTAGGCTACTCTGCCTCTAGCGGCCTCATATAACATCTAAATAAGATGCATTGGCGACCTACTGTCGCTTTGGGTAATCGGAAATATTTAAATCTAAATAAAACTTCATATATGCAAACGTTATCTTGATTTGAATTAATAGACCTTTGAACAATTTGTACAAAAATCTTTGTTACTGAATGACTGATTGGTGTGCATAATTATGATGATGGTGGCGAGAATAATATAAATCTAAATTGTTATAAAAATGTAGATGGAAAATCCCGTGGGATGGAGCAAGGGGCTCACGTCTTTCTCCGTATTATCCATCCATTTTCATTTCTAGGTAAGTAGTTCATTAGACTTCTGTGCCTTCGGACTCGAAGCAAATCAAAATTATATTTCGATGTTTGGAAATTGTCTAACTGCTAGTATCAGTCTGGTGGTGGTGAAATTAGGTGGTCACAGCCCTCGTGTCATTGTGAGCACGTTTCCGGTTACCATCACCTATGTAGCGTTCTTAAAGCCCGTCGCACTATTGCAGCATGGTTACATAAGCTCTCAAAACCCTCTTCTATACGGGAGGAGACCTGTGCCCAACTAAAAGGCTTTTGACATTAATGAATTGATACGTAAAGGTACGATAAACCAGCATTATGTTTGTAAGTTACAATGGTAGAGCGTAGTTGAAGCTCGATGCCTTGCCCCCCGAAGTGTGCAAAACATTTCCCACATGGCAACTAATTGTAATCTTATCTTGTTTTCTGCTCTAATCCTCGGGAAGGTGCAAATATTTCGTGCTCTACGTAATCAGAGAGTTGTAATTAAAATTCTTCGTTACACACACGAAATAACTTAGGTCAATAGAGTTCATTGTTACTTATGCTTATACGCGTATGATTGTTTACTTATACGTAGATATATACCTTTCTCCAGAGTCTCCAAAAATACTGTAGGGGGCTTATCTACACTAATACTAATAAAAGAAAAGATTTGTATTTTTGTGTGTATGTTAGTATTGAATATACTCAAAAACTACTGTGCCGATTTCAAAAAATCGGTCACCATTAGAAAGCTACGTTCACCCTGATTAACATTTATACAATTTTATAAAATAAACTATTATTATTTGCTACTGTTAAACATAGGCTATATTTATTGTTAGCCATATAGGTATTACCCGATGCTCTGCGAGTTTTTATTTGTGACAAAAGAGGACCGACAAGCTCATTTGATAGGGGATGAAATGTCCCAGCCATATACCTATCTTACCAAAATCCGCTGTTGTACCTATATTGGCTTTGAATATTTGTTGTTGCAATATTAATAGATGCTTATAAAAAGAATTTAAATTTGATTTACTAAAAAATAACTTTTTATGAAAGTCTGTATTGTTTTTAAATGGAAAAACTCAATTAAAATCATCATAAATATTGTTGAATACAAATGTATGTACTTTTTTTGACTGTGATAATGAAGCAATAAGGTATCGGCTACGTTTATTATAACATAAAAATACATTGAAATAAGCAGTTGTTCAGGTGTCCGTGAGACGAATCGTCAATATTATAAATGTAGGTCACAAACAGTTCACAATAGCTATTAAATTGGTAATATAGCTGTATGTTACTTACTTAATTTTCGCATATTTAAAAAGGCTTCAAAGTTTTGTACGGTCAGCAGAAAAATTGAACCTAATATTCAATCGCTTAGATAATATTGGTAGAGAAATTTACCAATATTTATGACACAAGATCACAGACAAGCACGGGTTCACTTCATGGTAGGTGACATGCCCCAGTCATTTAATATCTAAACCTTCCTTTTTATCTATTTTGGCTTTGGATATTCGGAAATCCACATAATGAAACCGAAATGCGATTAAACCTCACGAATATTTCATCGTTGACGGTGGTTTAAGCGTTTAATACCCAGATTTCCAGATGAAGTGCCAACACGTTTCAGAAAAATTATAAATTGATAAGAAACATGGACACGGGAGCAAACCCATGCCCCGTTGATTATTAGCATACGTTGCTAGCATTAGGCCAACTAGTTCGAGATTGTTTTATTGCAAAATAATTGTTAATAATCCTGCCTCATACAATACAATTGTTACTTGTAACATGTGCACCTATTATTATCAACCCACAGACTGCTCTATACTCAAAACTGCGAAAGCAAATAGTTAATATTACATTGACGTAACGTTTATACATTTTAAGAATGTATTAAGGCCGTTTCAGGGCCGATGTGAGTTTACTTACTTGTGCATTTGTTATTGAAATTTGCTGGAGACATTCATTGTATTAATTAGTTATAAAAGTCAAATTCTGGGGCAAATATAAAAATCATTTCTGTGTCCGTTACAGTCTGTAGGCGAACACATTTTTATACTCTGTCTGTTTATCACTATTATTTACCAGCAAGTAGCTGATCTGATTTCTGTACCCTGCCTGACCAGAACAATTTATTGCTTCTACGGGATTTTGACCATTGATCTACGGAGAATCAATTTCTTAAAAATTATAATAATTAATCATTTTAATAACGATATGATTTACGCATTGTCTTATGTTTACGCAAGTACTACAGATATTGAAATAAAGCACTTTTAAAACTCGAAGTATGTCAAGACACTCATTTCGCTATTCACCACTTATTTCAACTATGGCCCGATGTCTCCTATATACCTACATATAATTTAATTACTCATTACTTCACATTATGTATTATTTTTGGTAACACCGATTTTAAAGTTCATTTTTGGAAAGACAATTTTTGTATCTAATAGAAGATGCATCATCAAGATCGGTCATAATATTAACATTAGGTAAACTGTAATAGCATAGCATAGCGTAGCGGAAGCACAAGATCTAAGTGGATGGGCATACGTGCGCGCGCGCCGCTGTTTGCCCATTCCATTGATAAAGCTCGCAATTTCTGCTAGTCGAGAGCGAGCCGCGGACTAAAACGCTCGCCTCGCGTACCTTCCGCGGTCTATCGCGGCTTACCCTTCTTTTCGTGCACGAATTTAATCCCGAATCGACGATACAACTGTGTGGCATGGTAATTAGTGTTTATTTTAAAATTTTTGGACGTACACGGTATCGTATAACACAAATTTATCTTTTTTTTACTAATAGAGAAGTGGTGAAATTCACTAGGGTTTATTCAATGATACTTTGTGTATTAAAATTACAATATTTTTATTAAAACAATTCTAATGGCATAATGTTTAAACAAAATCAGCGTGAAACGATGTTTGAACTTATGACACGAGGCATGTGTGACAAGTTGACTATTTGCTCTTATCTCTAACAGCTTTTGCAAATTATCTCATTCACTATTTTATTCAGATTTTATTATCGTGTGGAGCAGAATGGAGCATATTATATACAAATGAATAATACTTTTTTAAATAGTTAACATTTTATAGAACTTAAACGTGGAGCAGAAAAATCAATCAAGTCCATACCTTAATTGTGGATAATATTTCAATAAAACACTTTAACGGTTAAAACGCGATATATATTAGTTAAACTTGTTTGAAAATTATTGTAGCTACGGCCCGACGTTTCGAATGCTTTGCAGCAGTCGTGGTCTCGGGGAGACGGAGAATATTACATAAAATTCCACGCTTCCATATAAAATAGGGACAGGGTTATACCTAGTTGGTCATGTTATCAGGAATGGCAGAAGGCTAACGAATTGCGCAATCGTACATATCGCGTCCGTTAAATTTAATCATGAATCCTTAATAATTAGCGTATGGTTTAATTATTATCTATGGTCCTTACTACTCCTAACATTATATTAAATACTGACCTAAAACTCAATTCAAACGACATGTATCCTAAAATGACGATGCTTCTGAGCGTTCCACAAGAGACGGATTTTCAAAGTTTTTTCCCACAATATAGAGAACTTAACTAAAGTAGTGCTCGAAATTATATTAGGTACTTAACAGTTCAATTTCCTAATAAAGTTCTAGCTTGTCGCGTAGAGTAGTAGTAGTAGAGTTCATCTTTTTAAAAGTTGAACTTGAATTTCTATGAAAGATATTCAGATAGAGTTAAGCTTTTACACGAGGACTTAATAACGATATTTTTGAAGATTATCCACTAATAAATGATGTTATATACTTGGTACTTATGAATACAAATTTAATATATTTTTTATTTAATTAAATACAGTAAAATCAGTTGGCGATATTATTTTTCTATCAGCTTCCTGTAAATCTTTCATCATTGTATTGCAGTGATTCATTCACTTATCATATTTAAACTCTAAGCTTTGCGAAGCTTTGTTCGTTGGCTATACTTAATAAAATGTAAAATAATGTTATAATCCACTGTATTGAATTGAGTAATATTTTATTTTAATTATTGTTTTTCCATAAATTTCATACTTTCATAAGTGTTGAATATTAAAAATATCAACAAGATTAGCCCCTTTTAGAAGGTCCAAACAAGGCTTTAGTTTTTAGTAGCTATTGCTACAATTCTATAACAATAATTGTTTTATGCGCATGCTTCGAATGAATAACAAACGAATCTTCTATTAAACGTCTACTTAAATCTGAATAAAATAATTGCATAAAGCACTACGTATTCTCAAAAATGAATGATTCCGATTGATTTATGAAGAATTTATGATTAATGTAGACAGACCTACGTCGCAAATTTTCTGAAATTTGTTGTAAACCGACTTCAAAAAGTAGACGGTCAATCGATTCATATATATGCTTTTTTATTTTTATACACGCTTGTATAAGGTTCAAAAAATTAACATTTTTCAGCCTTTTCAAAGCGTATATATTTCTTGTTGTATTAATGATAGTCATTGCAATCATTATTAAATAGGTAGATAGATATAGATAGGTAAATAATATGGTAACCCAAGTGCCTTTTAGTGTTAATATAAACAAGTCCTAAATTATAGCTTTAGTATTTGCGTTATTGTGATTAAGACAGATGTTGTCATTGGCCCCAAACACCTTTCCGAACGTAATTTGCCATTGTATGCATGATTTTATTACCTTTACTATGTCCCAGAGATATTTATAACCATTGATGTTGACAATAATGGCATTTATGCTGCGGTGACAGAGTTATTATTAGTTTAAAAAGCTTTTGAGACATTTCAGTGAGCTGTCTTGGATTAGAAGTTAAATGTCCTTTTGTATATTGGCTGCACTAAGCCGCTTTGAACCATGATAACGCTACTATTTTACTTCTGCTCATCTGCCCGATGCCAAAGACATTGCTGTGTGTCGCCAGGCTGTACCTCGAGAACCATAATAGCTATAGTGGAAACTTTCACAAATGAAATTCAGTTGCCGTATCACAAATATTGAAAAATAGCCCTGTCACATTTTTTTTGTCAAAATCAATATATAGATAATAGGTAGGTATTTAAAATATCTAAAAAACATTATCATAAGTCTTTCTTAGTTATTGGTACGGAACCCTTTCTGGACGAGTTCGCCTCTTACTTGACCGATTTCACTATATTTCTTCTCTGTGGTACTCTGTTTTTTATCTGTCCCGTTCTAGTTAGAAGTGCTACGTCTGCGCATCTAATAACTAGACAAACAAGTAAGATAATTGTGCTATCGCTGTTTGTACGATCATTTGAAACTGCTGTTTTACCTGCGTCCTCCACATTCCATCTTTATTTGCTTAAGTGCATAATATTTTGTCTATAGTACGTAAGCAATGTAGTAAGGTGTTTAAACCTCATTGGTGATACATAATACAAATTTAATATTTAAATAAAACACTTTATTTTCAACACATTTTCGCTTTTATTTTCAAGTGGGTAATATTATTGTCGTGTATATTATAACTACTCGCTTAAACTACAGACTACAGATAATTTTTAAAAACTAGAGGAAGGATATATGCTTTATCGTGTGTTTTGAATTAGGCGTTTGAGAGATATAAACGAATAAACGGTACTTAAACTATTTATGTAATCTACAACCTTACGTAGTTAGTATCGTTACAAACTTACAGCTTGTTGAAGCGCCACACATCAATAAACAAAGCACTTTGTAACGAGAGCTTGCATCTTGGCGAAATGCAATGTGGACATGCCCTTTATATTATAAGGGTCAGTGGTATCCTCGATATTATGATCTGTGAAAAAAGTTTGAGTTTCGTCGGGTCGGACAATGTGATGACGGATACATTCTACATCATTCAGACAAATAAATTAACAAGCGTGTTAGCTCTCATCATTCGGCGGGCGCTACCTTGAATGTCTTTTAAACACTTTTCTGCATCGCATTCTTCTTTCCCGCATAACAGCAATATTGTACTTGAGTAATTCTAGAAGATGTGAGATCCTCCTTTCGGGCACTCTTTAGACTTAGGTATTTAGAGACTGTCTTGCGTGTGAATCTTCTATCCGTAACTAATATCTACAGGCCTTGCTTGCGCGTTAAAGTTTCAAGATGACAGTGGAACCCCCTTAGTAATTGAATTGCCTCTTAAAATAAATAAATATCGTATCCACAACAATATATCGTTTAACATAGCGCCAGTCGGGTTCGCGTGCATCTCAAATCACGCTAAGTAGGTCTTTGATCAGTGAAACACAACCGCTTGCACTTCCTACTTGCTATCAAAGGCTTCTATCATCGTCTCAACATCATATCTAATATCGTACGGGCCTGTACCGTTACTCTGTACAATTGTGCATTGTCAATAATTCTAATTCGGATACTTAGAGCCTTTTGGTATAGGTTTTTAAGTAGTGTGACGTTCATAAGTGTACATAGTTACCTGCGTGAATAAATAATTCTTGACATGACTTTGTTTTTTAGGATGCAAGTGGTATGAATATATAATATTGTACTGTACATACATCATTTTATAGTTATATGCGTTAATTACTGAATGTAGTTTACGTGAGTAGTACATTTAAATAAATCAGTTTAACGGTTTAAAACGCGAAATATATTAGTTGAACTTATTTGAAGATTATTTTAACTCGGGATGCTTTGCAGCAGCCGTGGTCACGGGGAGAGATATGTTGAGATTTTATAAGTTATATATATGCGTTGCGTTGTGATCCAAACTATCGTACAAGACACAGTTAATCAACTTACCTGTACAAAAATCGATAAGCGAAGCCGATACAGAAATATGTCCATTTAGTTGAAGTGTTTGGTGTACTACATACTACTTTTTGACATTTTGTCTTTTCGGGTAAATTCTGTTTTTATTATGATTCTTATATTCCTATACCTTTCCACTACATCCGATTCTCTAATCGATTGCATATACAAGCAAGTAGTTTATGAGCTCTGCTTGATCGATTTAATGATCAACGAAAAACAATTTCAAACCCAGGACCTACAATATAACGTTACTTTAAAATGTGTCCGCCATAATAGATTAGTGAAATAATTAAGCCATTTGTAAGTAAACAATCACATATACACATATAGCGTAAGTGCGAGGCCTAAAACTAATTAAGCTATGTGAAACGTATATTTTGTCCTCTTGAAGTTAGTTGTAGTTTGGGCCGCGTTGTGACCGTTGGTGAATCCCTACAAATTAGGACTAAACCTTCTAATTGGAATTATTTCGGTTATGTGCTGTGCTCATTATACGAATGTGAGTTAATTTTATCTTAAATTTATTTCCTACATAATAATAACGGTACAAATAAGTTTAACTAATATATTTTGTGTTTTAAACCGTTAAAGAGTTTTATTTAAATAAGTATATACATCATTAATAATTTATGATTTATTCAGTATTCAAAACCGTAGCCACTAAAACGAACCATAAATTTTATTCTCGATGTTTATTTCTTGCAGAGCACTTATCTAAGTTAGCAATTTCAAATAATAAAAGTTCAAAAAAAGAACGAAATGATTTTCTTTAGGAAGGATTTTATATAATTTACCGATGACGTATGTCAATTTTATGTTTAACTTTATAAATACGCCCTCTGACGTTTTTATATATTAAGTAAAGTTAAGCAAATGAAATAAAATCTAGGATATAATGATAAAACTGTCATATAATTGAACCAAATCATTCTGGTTATCT